TACTGTTCAGTAAAGAGCTAATGCACTCTGCAGACAAGAGCGGCCGCCGTCATTTCGACCTGTTCGTCGTTTCGTGGAGTTGAACTTTTGGCCTTTAACTAAAGGCGCTCAGGCCTCCTTACCTGGTTGTTCAGGATTCTGGTCTCTTAGGCTGCCGTGTGGCGAGTGGCATTCACGACAGCACGCAAATTCTTAAGTGTGTGTGACATGACCTCCACCCTGCCACGGATGGCCACCTCAGACCCGGCCGGTACCACTGGCTGTTCATGTAGGATCATGTAAGCCTTGGATAGACTTGAACTCCCTGGTCAGGAGTCATCAGCGCATGCTGTGGCGTTGGACGGCGGTCTGGGCAGTGACTCTCACCAGCTCGGTCGGAAGCTCAGCGCAGAGTCCAAGCGACTGCCAAGCAGAGCGTCCCTTCTTCCCAGCCACCCCTCTCGGTCTAACGAAAGCTTGCGGTCACGGAGCACAACTTGCCCGCGTCCAAGTCCAGGGCAGAAACCTCGTACATCTCATATAGACAAAAAATCAAATATGCACATAAATTTCATCGGCGCAGTACATTTATGGTTGATTACTCAATTGTCATGAAGTATTGCTCATTGTCCTTGTGAACAATGGATGGCGATGCCTTTCGGGCCTTAGGTTTGGTGGTGGGCACGTGGCTTCCTCCGCGCGTTGGCGCACGTGCCGCTGCTGGGGCAGCCGCTGGCAGAGGCGTTGAGAGCCTCAGATGGCAAGCCGTAACTGGTTCACTTGAGGTAAAAGATCACTTGAGTGATCTCTAGTGGCTGACTAGGTTCTGTCAATCCCCTCGTGGTTCACCAGGCCAAAGTGGTCAGTCGAAGATCACTTAAGCTGCCTAACGTGCTAAAGGGGCTCCTGGACATGCCTGGGATGATCCCAGGTCACCTGCTGCCTTGCTCAGTGCCGGGCTTGGGAGGTGCGCAGGTTTGACTGTTGCGGTGAGTGGTGTCGACAGATCACTGAAATGTAGTAACACAAAAACGGCAATTCTTTAGCTGGATGTGATCCTACTTGAGGGAAGCTGTTTGGGCCCGATTCCACGAGAATTGGAGATTGCTCCCGCAAGCTGCCCTCTCAAGAGCCCGATGTTTCAGAGTCATGAGTCCAGTAGAGTCGGTACAGTCCCTGGACAGCTCCACATCGAAGTGCAGTGAGAACCACGTTGCGTGGTCTTCGGATGACTCATGGTCATCCTTGTGGGGTCATTTCAGTGTACCACTTCCATGATGATTTCAGGGAGTGGAATCATTTCATACCATTTCTATTTCGTTCACCTGGCTTAGATACCCGGCCCCTTTAGGACATGAGGCTTGCTCTTTTGACAAAACGGTGCATGTGGACCTGTGGACCCCTCAAAGATGCATGGTGATCGTGATGAGCTGATGCGCTGTCTGATGCAGCAGTCTTGTTCCTTTTCGATGGCAGGTGGTAATAGGTGGGGTGTTCTTCTTGTTGGAAAACGTTGGAAAGTCTCGAGTTGTGCAGGAGCGGCTCCTTTGCCAGTGGTCGATGAAGCTGGAAAGCGTGGGCGCGTGGCGGTCATCGGAGGTCTCTGATCTCATTTATGGTGAGTTGATGGGACCAAGGAGACCAGCGATTCTGATGTCCATTTTTTGACCAAGGCCGAACTGAATATGTCAATCCTGCATCACCAAGCGGAATCAATCAAACCCAAGTTCTGATACTGATACTGCTTGCTTTCAGTGTGTGTGTGTGTGTGTTGTATGCTACACCCGTGCAGTGAGTTCAAAGAACGTGGCAGAGACCAACAGGGCCCTAGCTAGAATTGGGATCCAGCTGTTCCACCAACTCCGGGACTTTATTGCGATCGATGATTTCACTGTCAGCGACGCGTTCCCTGCAGATCCAAACACACCAGAAGTCCTGGGGTGGTCTTCTTTCCATCAATGCCCTGCTAAAGCAGCTCATGAGAACGATCTCGGATTTTGCAGCTCGTGCCGTCCAGAGCGGTTTCGTTCCCATGGCATTTCCCCTGACACCGTTCTCCGCTGCAGGTGGCATCAGCGGCTGCAGCTGCGCCTTCAGCCTGGCAGAGTCGGGCTACGAGGTGGACACCAGTAAGCTTTGTTAAACTGAGCACTCAACAAAGCTTAGACTGGTAATCCTATTAAAGCTTAGACGGGTAAAGCTTAGTAAATCCCACATCATCACCTGCCAGGACCTTCCGAAATCGCCCCGGTGTCTATTTTTGGGACACTGCCGAAGAAACGAGGGTCCTTTATGAGGCGTCACTTATAGATCTTACAGACACCCCGAAGGGAGGGTCCTGGTGCAGGTCACCTTTTTGGGGGGATTTGGACGTGGTTTCTCACTTTGATTCGTGTTTTCAGCCAATTCGACCTGTGTGTGAATGGCTATACTGGAATACCCGGTTCGACAGTTGGAACAGATGGAAAAGGTTTGGTTCACCTCTATGACACCAGTGAGAAACAGCGGAACCATGCGGAACCTACACCCTGTCCCGCCAGCCAGTAGATCTCGTGGGAGTTGGTTGTTGCATGTTGTTGCGCACTATGTCGAACAAATCACCGTAGTATAGAGACACATCTAACCCAGCCAGTCAGCATCATTCAGCTCTGGTCGCTGGTAGCTCTGGTCGCTTCGCATCTGAGTTCCTTTGCAGGTCACGGTCTACGAGGCGCGTCCGGTATTGGGTGGCAACGCGCAGACGGCCAGCTTCGTGGTGGGACAGAAAGGCTCCTCGTTTGGGACGCAGCGACGCTGGGCGACTCGGGTTTTGGCGGCGAGCTGAGGTGAAGAGAAGACGGTGACTCAGGAGCCATGTGCAGTGAAGCAGGGCGGGTTCAGAAGCCAATCATGGAGATGAGCCTCTAGTGGACTGTTTTGACGCCCCACAGCCTTTTTTCACCTGTGTCCACTTTTCATGAATCATTCATGGTGATGTGGAGAATCTTCACATTCAGTGGCTTGCATATAGGGAAGCATTCAAGAGATCATGTAATATATATATATATGTATATATATATATATATGAATTATGAATCTTGTATTATATAAGGGGCCTTGTACAATCTTGACTAATCTTGAATCTTAGCGGCTTGTGTATAACAGGCCTCATGAACCCTAGCTAGCCTTCCAGCACCATTAAAAGAAAGGTTGACCTAGTTTTGTAGTTTCACATCCTTAGTAAAACAACGGCTGATCGGTATATTTAAACCATGCAATTCACGGTGGGCCAGGAATCCTATGGGTTGATCTCGCTTGTCCAACTGGTTTCTTGGAATGTCCCACTGACGCACGGACGGCGCCCCCATGGACCGTCGTATCAAATGCGTTCGCTCGGAGGACTTGAGTGTCCTCTATTGGGCGCCGGAGTTCTACCGAAACTACACCGCTCTACTCCAACACCTGGGCGTGACCGGGCGCGGAACCGGGAGGGGAGTGGAGCAAGGAGCTGTTTGGCGGGTCCCTTCTACGCCCGGGTGGCGGTCAACTGGTAACGCCGAAGGGGTGAATGTTAGAGTCTTATGAGACCATGGGCCAACAGGGCAACTGCATCACCTTGGATATACAGCCACTCAGGGTCAATCTACTCAGGTCTGTTGCTGTATCCACGGGTTAAAAGTAGCAGCAGATGCGGCTCCCATCGCTGCTTCCATCGTCCCATTTTCGAGGTGAAGGCGTCCACGGTGGAGCTGCCCTATGTGATCCACAGCAACGTGCACGGCAGCAGTGAGTTCTATGTGCAGCCCGGCACCTCCAGTGGCTCGGCTGCAGCCCTGAGGTTATGCTCGCTGGCACAGAGCTAACTGAGGAGATAAAGAATTGTGCTTTCTTCCTGAGCTGTCATCTCACTAGTGCTGATTGCAAGTTTGTCTTTTAGTATCTCTTGGCACCTTTTATATAAGACAATTGAATCTTAGGTTTTTGGGGATTCAGATTCGCAAAACTTCACATGGGGGGAGAACACAGAAGACTCACTCACTTGGGGATTTGGTAAGGGCCAGTAGGAAGATTAGGAAGGAACGAACAGCGAGCGTGACCAACTTTGAAGTAGTAGATGATAAGTGGTCATCAGAAGATGCAATGTTTTGAGGAAAATGCCTGCCCCAAAACAGATGAAACATCGCAGACAGCAACACCCTTCTTTGGACAATCGTGGAAACGGCACCTTTTTTTTTGGGAACCCCCCCCCTCCCCAAGCCAATCAAAACCTGTCATTTTCTCCTATCATCTCCTATCTAAATCTAAAGCAACCCAGTGGTCAACGAAAATCCCCAGGTGTTTCCCCAGACACTCCATGTATGCCATATATGCCTACATTGACCCCCAAAACCACCCATAAATGGAGTGTCTGGGTTCTTTCCCTCCAAACCACTCCTGCGAGCTAGGTGGCCTGCATGAGATCTTAAAGCCCAGCCTGGAGCACCGTTATCCGCACGACTTCCAGCGCTCCTCGCCGGATCTCCTCGGTGGGGAGGGTGGTGCACCAACGAACCGAACGAACGGAATCGGCAGTTCTCGGGTGTTTGCGAAGGTTTTTAGTGCACGGGCATTTAGGCGTTGGAACATTTGGACTGCATTTCTGGGGATCAGTTGCTTGATGTTACTTGTCGGACACTCTTGTCGGACACTCTTATGGAACACTCTTGCGGCACACTCTTCTCCAACACTCTTGTGGAACGCTATCGTGGGACACTCTTGTGTCATCAGATATTTGTGGATATTTAAGGCCCAGCTCGTGATGCAGGATGATGCAGGCCTTGTTTTAAAACAATTCTTGGCGCGAGCTGGGGGTATGGACCACCTCGGAAATTCAGGGGTGTTGTAGCATGAGCCCCAGGAGTCACACAGACCTGACTGGTTGCGGACTTCAAATTCCGGTTGGTTCAAAGAAGCGTCTTCGCTTGGCTGTTTGTGTCGGAGCTCGTCCGGCGCGTCTTTCTGCGCGCTTCTTTGGACGGCTTCGCGAAAAAGGTTACGACTGGATGATCTCCTGCATCGGAAGCATCAACTCCTTCTTCCGCTGGGGCTCCCAGCGACCCTCCTTCTACACCACGAACCAGGTGACTTGGAAGAGTGAAAGGCTCGGATGGTGGGGGGTTCTGTTGTCCTACTGGGTCCTACTGCAATCCATGTGCATTGTATTCGGATGTATTCTGTATGGGTCTATCGGTCTATCAGTTTATCTTGTTGTTTCAATCACTGTATATATTTCACGCACCTCTCAAAGCTCTTGGCTCAAATCCCAAAAAGTTGTCCAAACGCAGTGTTCAGGGATTTTGGCGGACTGAGTTCTGGGGGGTGAATGGAAAGTATGGTTGTTCAGACCAAAATTCGAGGTGTGTGATGTTTGGATGGGGCTTTATTATGGCAGAGGATCGCAGCCGAGTATGGGCACCTGAACTTCTTTCTAAAGCGGAAAGGGGGGTGGAACGTTGTTCAACCACGTGTCCCAATAGAGAGATTGGAATGATTTAGAACTAATTTAGAACTATAAAGAACTGACAACACACATCATTACAACCTTCCCACCACTCAAGTGCAGCCCCGCAAGTAGCAGAGAGGCATGAGCAAGGAGTCTTTGCGGCCGGGCACGGCAACTCCAGGTGACACTGCTGCCCTTCTTGTGCCCCTTCAACTACGTGCTTGGTCTTGCAAGCGGCCGGAGATGACATTAGAAAGGATCAGATCACCGCAAGGTATTGGTGATTGAACTGAGGGCAGCGGTTCTGTGGTCAGACTGGAGCACTAAGGTGCACAAATCGATTTTTATTTGACTTGCTGGCGGGCGAACGCAAGGATTCTGGGCTTTTGGCCCTAAATGTTCTGGGAAGTCAAGTGCCCCCAAGGGATTGCTTCGACATATCTCCGATCGAAGATTCGGGTCCAGACCGGGTCGCGTCTGCAAATGTGGAGCACGCTTTGAGCACCGCGTGTTGCCGCTCGTGCGTTCGCGCGCCGCAGAACGGAGCGACCAGGTCGGGCTCAAGACGGCGGCGGTGCGGATCTTTGGATGCTCCGAGGAGTTCTGGGAGAACGTCATCAAGCCCTTCCATGGCGACTTGGATGGAGGACAATTGGGGTAATTAATCAAGACCGAATGTGTGACGCTTCTTTTGGAGAGAGGATGGGGCCCACCAGGTGCCCACCCAAAAAAGTTCGGTGGAAGAACAAGTGACGCATCTTTGGACCCGAAATCCTTCAAGGGGTGTTGAATGGACTACCTCACACTACCTATTGGCTTCCATTGGGCACCCCTTGGAGGGTCCTGGTAAATCACCCATTGCTTTGATTCCTCCAGTCGGCGCCATTGTTTTGACATGGGCCGTGCGAGGCTTGAATCTGAGCACCGTCCATATTGATGACGTGCCAGGGACGGCCTTTGAGACGCTTGGGATGAAGGGAAGATTCATGGAGAACATGGACAGATTTGATGTGATGCTAGCGCCTTTGTGACGGGTGACCCTAGGGGGAATGGGAACCTATACAGAGAAATACCTGTAATAACCCAGACACATGTCCAATGACCCAGTTGGGGGTCTCACAGAAGTTGGCCATTTCTTGTTCCACACCTGAGATTCATAGCTGGCTGCAGCTGTGCCGGGGTGTCTGCGTGTTTTGTGAGTCGAAGGGAGCGAAGCCGGTGCGCCAGTCCGGTGCTTCAACCGTCAGACAGTCAGACGTATATAAATTAAAACTGATAGATGCAATGACATCTGCTCTTGTTGGAAATTGGATGGAAGAATTGGATGGAAGATGGAAGAGTTGGACGGATGGCACCATCTGAAATCTTCGAAATTCCGTGATGGATTTTCCCTCACCACGAAGGGCCAAGCCATGGCTGCCATTCGGATTTTCCCGATCTGGCCGGCTGAATTCTGGCCTGACTGGGCTCAAACACAGCTGGACGCTGTTTGACAAACAGGCAAGCACGCAAAAGAGTGACATATATAATTAGTGAGAGAGGAGGCAATGTTCTAGTCAGTTTGCCATAGCCACATAGCCGCTTAAGAGGTGACATGTCATCCCACCTAGCACTTTGCAAAGAGTTTTGGACCTGCGGTCTGTTTGAGCCAACCGTGCTGATGGGGCTGGCGTGGCTGGCGGCGCTGAGCGTCTTGGGAGCTGTGAAGAGATGGGGGTGGAACACGGAACCGGTGTAACATCTGACAGAGTCCAGAATTCGGTTCTCGGAAGCTAGTTGAAGCCGGAGAACTAGATCCCAACGTCCATCATTTGGCCCAACCATGTCTGCCCTGTGTCGAAGAAGAATGGAACACATTTGGGTCTGGAAGCCTCAAGACTGCACCCAAGCTACGCCCGACCCTTTCAGGGTCCACGTGAGTTTTCTACATTGAGCTGAAACGGTCGGCGGTAGAACTGAAACTCATGGCGACTGGCTTTTTCGGCATAGCAGTGGTTTCAAGAAGATGGCCCTGGCACCCAAAGACGTCTCCTTTATGGGGGTCCATCTTGGGGATTAACAAGCAGGCCTTCACATCCTCCACGCCACCAACACACCACCAAATGACCTCATGCCTCAGGCTTCCTGGTGGCTGCTCAAGCCTACCGAGTCTTAACAGAGGCACGCGGATTCTGAACATGGCTTCGCTTCGCTTTTGGGCACAGCAGTCGTTGCAGTGGAGATTCTACCTCCGGCATTTGCAGAGGGTTATTCTATTGAACCTTGAAAGCTTGGAACTCATCCCAAAACCGTGGACCCGCCACCCCTCCCGCACTGCCACAGGAGCTTGCGACTTCAGATGCTCAGGCCGCGGGCCCTCCCAGCGAGGAGGAGCAAAAGCAGGACGAACGCCCCGGCTGGGGAGCACCAGGGGCTGAGCACCGCTGCGGCACTGCTGATGGCCAAAGGGGACCCCGAAAAATCCGAACCAGCTTTCCTCCACGTTCGGCACGTCACCTGTAGCCTCTCTGGTTGGTTTGAAAATAAAGCCCCAAACGAGTCAAGGACCTCATTTGACTGAAGTTGCTCATACAAAAACATACAAAAACACTATTGAACAAGGTAAAGGACCAGGACCAGGTTTTACTGGGTCAGACTGGACTGGTAGGGAAGCAAATTAAAGTGACTCACAGGTGCAGGTGGTGACTCCCAGCCCCTGACCCAGTTGCTCCGATTACCGGACTCCCCACGCGGCCTTGGTGACGACACCTGATCAGTATCATTGGGGGGTGCACCATGATGCACCATGGCCGGGGTCACGAGTGGTAGACTTGTGCTCATGTGGCTTGTAGATGCACTCAACGTCCTTTTGCATCCTTCTTTCTGTAGCACAATCGCCCCCCCCAGAATTGGGTGATGCTTACAACTATTTAGCCCACTGCCTCGTATGTTTCAAGCGAGTTGAGACTCGAGACCAATTGCAGCCAGACATTCTCTGCCAGGAGCTTCCTGTCGAGGTGTCTATCAATAAGCCTCTTAGAGCTGATTCGGGGTGTCCAAGAACCACCACCTGTTGGAAGGTCCTGGTGGTTTTTTCATCGTGACTTTCGAAGCCAGGAGTTCTTCCAATGCACCCGACAATGCCGTTGGAGCTTCGGTCTGGAACTGGCCATCGTGGGTGGGCGTAGCGGCTGGTGGCGCTGCCAGTGCTATCGCAGCTGAGCTGAAGGAGAGACTATGTTGAAAGACATTGTTTTTTTAAACATATGTTTCCCTAAAACATGTCACGTCACCCAGATAATTGGTGAAACCCAGTAGTTCTTCCATGTTCTTCCGCAGAATTGGGTGAACCCAAGACCGGTGCTCTTCTTCGGGAGTGCGCAATATTGTTGGCACAGCAGCCTCCAAGCTGACAAGCTCACAGAGTTGTTCTGGAACAGCAAGCTGAGTCCTGCATTTCCTGAGGCCTCAAATCCTCAGGCCTGGCTTGTGCGGGGCATTGGCGTACTTCGACCATTTGTCTTCAAAAGATTCCCCGACTCCTTGAGCAAATCATGGGCCAACGTGGATGGCGTGGCCCCGATTTTGGATCACCACGTGCCGAAAAGCAAACAGGTGGCGAAGTCCACTTCTCAGGAGTGTAGTGACTTAGTCGACCATCTCTCAGACTGATTCAACGCTTCGCAGCGCCAGGTTTTGATGTGTTGGAGCCGGTGATTGACAGATACTCCGCCAGGGCCTCGGCAAGACGGGGGTGATTCTTCACTTCATGCAGGTGTTTTGCCACGAAAAGGGGCCAACGGAGTTCCACATCGCAACTGTACCAAGAGCTGCGTTTCAGGTGAATCCAGTTAGACGACCATATGAAACGCCACGTGATTATCCAGGTCCACGCTCCAAAGAGCTGACGAACTGTGGAGCATCAAAAAGATCCATCCACTGAGTTGAGGCCTCGGAGACTCTAGCCGATGCCTCGGACATTGTGGTTTTCGCATCAAGCTGAGATAGTTGATGAAAGATACTGACATCACCCCATATCACCCCCCATTCACCCCAAAAGATGGTGCAACATTTCAGGGTTCAGTGCAGCATGTCAGGTGGTGTTCAGGTGAGTTCGATCACCTTCACCTGACATGCTGCACTGAACACAAGTGAAGTTGGTGGGTCGAGTCACTCCCTCTACACATCCAGTGGGGCGTGACCTCCCCGAGCGTGGCAGTATAAGGAAACGACAGTATAAGCGTTTCCCAAGGCATTCACTGACCGAAAACCCACACCTTCAAGTTCATGAAAGCACCACCCTGTTGCACGGTGACTGGGTTTGGTCCTCGCACCGGACCGTTAAAAAGGCCGGCCGCGTCGACCGGTCGAGAGCCGTCCGGCCGTCCGTGGAGGCCAAGAGCTTCGACACGGCGAACACCTGGAGCGGCAACGACACGGTGGGGTGGGACTCCGCGCCCTGGGTTGAACCGCCCGGAGAGACGGTGCGTGGGCGTCGGCCGGTTTGGCGTCGGCCATGTGCCAAGGGACTCTTTCAAACTGAAGGCCCCCTATATGATCTTATATATATATATTAAATGCATACACGGATATACTGTTTGGTATCGCATGATGCGGCTAACTCCTGGAGAAGTTGCAAGGTTTGTCATTTTGGGATGGCTTGCGTAATCTTTGACTGCAGGCATGTACAGGCATCTACTGCATTTGACTGGTCGAAACCACCATGCTGCACACTTCATTTTGCTTGGAGAACCTCATGGGGTACGGGGCCGTCACCCTTTGGGTGGCGGTATTTTGGGACATGGGAAGGTTTGTCGTGGCGGTGGTCTGACACCCAGCTGAGGATTTCGTTTGCGTGAAGCGTCCGGATGGCACCTTGCTCACCATGACAAAGGAGGAATATGAAGCGGCTGGGAGCACGAAGCTTGGACTGCAGTCATGGATTGTGAATGAACTGACCTAAGCCACAGTCAGCATGATGCCTGGCCTTGATGGCCTTGATGGTAGGGATTTGAGCAGGGAGCCGGTGGCAAAGGATGGACAAAGGGCAACAACAAGAGCAACGATGACGACAACAACAATAACGAGCTTGTGTAGGAGGAGCAGCTGGAGCACAAGCAACGCACTACACCACTGATGCTTACAAATCTACTTGTCCTGTGGAGCATTCCAAGCACCACGGCGGCCTTTAAATCCAGACCCATCCAAAATTCATACCCCGACGTTGATGCGCCGAATGACGATCTTCTTTCGGGGTGGCTACAATGCCTTAAAAACCGAATAGAGCGCAGCAATCAATGAATTTGGTTTCGGGGTGGCGGCTAGAGGTTGCCGCATTAGAGAATTCTCTGATGCAAGCATCAAGAAAAGCGGTTGAAATGAGATGGGGTTTGTGAAATGATGATGATGTTAATTGTACTGTATGTTGAAATGATGATGGAAAACCACGCGTTTTTGCCCTCCTTGACAGTTCCAGGCAGCATTTGCAACATCTCCACTGTGGGAAATGCGCTGCTTGCAGTGCGGTCAAAGACCTTGAGGTGGGCATTCACTGGCATTCCAGCCTTCCACCCAACCTGGTGAGAACATGTTGGACTTACTGTAGTTGGCAGAAGCTCCTGGTGACAGGTCACTGAAACATCAGAGTCACACCGCATCCGCCCAAAACAGCGCTGAAGATGCCATGCCAAGCTCTCCAGCTCTTGCTTCGCCACCGCTTGCTTCGCCAGGTGCTGGTGACGACGCGAAAGTGGATCACGGAGGTGCGCTTTCTGGGAACAACGCCCAATCCACGGCTAACATCGTTCCATAGGACTGGAATTCTCACTGACCAGCTGGGGTGAAGAGTGAAGAGAGGTGAATGTAGGCAAGTCTGTCTCATACCATCATTCCTTTTTAGAACTCAGATCTGCTTGTTTTCCACTTCTTCCGGATCTGTCCCATCCCCCCTAGTATACTGAAGTGAATTGATGGCCCGAAGCTGGAAGATCCCCACCCCTCCCAGGTCATGACGAAGGTGGCCGCCCGCTTCGCAGCGCCCTGGGGACATCACGACCCCCAGAAGCTCCGTGAGGATCTGGTTGAGGCGGGGCGTCAGCGCTGTTCAAGCGCTTTTCTACGTGGTTAGGCAATGTTAGGCGGCGAGTCAGCAGGAAAAAGGTAGAGGTGCGTACCAGGACCATCCTGTTTGGGTCACCAAGTCCACTAGTTAGGCCACGAAACACCACCTAAACACCAGTCCTATCTGCCAGGACCATCCACTCAACACCACCCCGGCATGTGACTCCTGGTCCAGACTTGTGTTGCATTCTCCCGGCGCCTCGGGGGGGGGGTTTCTTTCACAAGGGGTTCGGCACTGCCTGCTTTCCAGCACCCGGTTTGCGGTAGGTCCAGCCATGGTGGTCTACGATCGTGTGGCCAAATCGCATCAATTTTAGGATATGTCAGGGTTCCATCAGTTGTATGGATTGGCCGGGCCGTGTTTTTTCCAGCAGGAATTGGTAACTGAGTGAAGGATCTCAGTTTTTCTTTTAAAGGTTGATCACCCGCCGAGGCCCAGATCGACTTTAGCCAGACACGGTATGATGGTCGCGACTTGGCTGGTGGTGAAGTCGTCAGCTCTCTGAGCGATGCTGCTGTGGGCCACGGAGCAGCTGTCGTAGCTCGCTGTGGGTGGCGCAACCACTGGGCATGAGGTGAATTTGGTAGGAACATCCATGAAGATCCCCATGAAGCTGTGCTAGAAACATGTGCCAACCAATACTGGATACCCGGCTTAACCACGATTTTGTGTTGGAGCAATGTTCCAAGGATCTATTTTCATGCATTATGTTCCAAGGCGCCATCACTTCTTTTTGTTCCGGGGTTCAATCAGAACACGTCAAGAACCCGTCAGCACGCTTTTAACTTTTGATCGAAACCGTGCAGACAGGATCCAAGCCCATCCTTTTTCGCTCTTTCGACACTCGCTTCAGAGGCAGAGGTTTTCTCCAAACACCAGAAGCTGCTTCAGACGGACTCCGTTGGTCCGTGGCTTTGAAGCTCCGGCTCGGTCCACGGATGGAGGGCGGGGAACCTGTGCCCTGAGGTACTGACCTTCCAAGCTGTATGGATGTGTGGGCCGCTGAACTGCATCCTGCAAGCAGGTGGTGAAGACCAATCCTTCGGTGTGAAGATATTGAAGAGAAATCCACAGAGATCCACCGGGAAATTTGGGTCAGACACCATCAGAAATCCACTCTGACTCACCAACCCACAAACATGGAAATGGAGTTCACGCCATCCACTTCCATGTTAGTGAGTCAAAGTTTACAGTAATTAGTTTCAGTTCGTTACAAGCCTGAACTAGAACAGTTTGTGAGTGTTCAAGAGCTGCAGAGACACCAAACCGATGTGTCTTTTGGGGCAGAAAATCACAAACATGACATCTGCCATATTCGTAGGAAAGAGCAGACGACATCGTTCCTATCTATTGGGACGAGCGAGAAGGCTTATTGGACATCACTCCTTCTGTGTCTCGGCATCTGAACCCCTGCAGAATCAACCAGTTGCCCTCACCCCCCACTACGTAAAAGCTTGAGGGCAGGATGCTTCATCAGCACCTGAGGACGATTCCAGCCAACCCATACCTGAATGACAAGGCTCTCCAACGAACACCCCCCTTCTGGTCCATGTATCACAGATAGGCCCACCGCAAATGCTTCCTGTGTGGGTTTTGGTGCCATGCGCACAAATGAACCACTCGAGGTCGACAACATCATGTGCGACAGCATGTCCTGTAAATCCAAATGCTGGCTGAAATTCTTCAATGCCAAGAATGCGAAGACGGAGACTTGTCCAGATTACATAGGTAGGAAGAATGCTCGCTTGACACTGCACGGCCTGACGTTGGTCATGATAGACTTGTGCCATGTAATGCCATGTACTATGTACTTTGCCGTCACTGTATATACAGTATATAACTATATAAATCTATATAATATATATATTTAACATTGTGGTTAAATGTTCTAGTTTATATCATTTTATAAAACATTAGAACGCGCGTGGCCATTGTGTCCTCAGGAGATTACCGGTCGCGTCCCCTGGTACGACCTCAATGCTCAATGCCCGGAGCTCACAGGTCACAGCCATGGTGATCAAGCCTTTTCCGGTCGACACTCCATGTATGCCGTATTTCACTACATTGCGGTGGTTGACAGGCAGGAGGAAAGCGCACTCATCAAGATACGATATTCATATATATATATATATTACTATTTCATTCAACTTCACTCTTGGAGCTCCATTCAGATTCTGGTTTTTCCCTTTGAGGTCTCCGCTGTGACGAGCTCAACTGCGGGCCTGCGTTCATCAAGGTGAGAAGATCGGTGAAGCGGACGGTTACTGTAAATGAAAGGTACACGGCCGGACGAACACATGGTTACGTGGATGGCATGGTCCCGGGAAGACGAAATACATTCCTTTACAACCAGTTATTTTTTTCCTCACTCCACGTATTACATTCCTGTGTAAACAGGGGAGCGGACGCCACTGGAAACGCCAGTGAGTCTGAGTATAGCTCATCATGATTTCATCGATAGAGGAGGAACTGGGCCCTTGGGCAATTCATGAGTCCTTGCGTGTGGCAGTGGGAAGTGGCTGTCAGCTTATCTAGATGGCACCGTCAGCTCAAGAAGGCCCTAGTTTCCCCGCTTTGCGGCACCTAGTCACAAGGTCAGTTGGGCCCCGAACTTTTTGGGCCGAAGACATTCCAAGAATTTCCGGTTGCTCTCATTTGCTATCGTTGTTCTGCACCATTGATCTCCAACTCATGTCCTCAGTGAGGCAACAGGTCTGAAAGCGATGAGCTTGAGCTAGAGCTGAACGGTTTTTAGTGTGGTCCATCTCAATCCCGGACAGCCCATATGTTTGGCCTTTCTTGATATTGAATATCTCAATATGGTCCACTCCGTCCACTGGAAAGACGGTTTCGGCGCTTTGGCCACGCCGTCGGCGCTAGGGTGCGGGCGCCAACCGGCGCTCGGCGGGGATCGAGTCGGACATTTCACGGCCGGAGAAGCAGAAGTGCCAGCTGGGCTTGTGCCGTGGTTGGAAAGGGAGGGGGATGACAGTGACAGGAGATCAATTTGGGAGTTATTTTGTGGGGTTTGGGGGCAGAAGTAAGTATTTGGGGTTGAAGTTTTTGTTGAAATCCATATGTTTCAAGATTAGAAACCAAGACAGGCATGAATTTCTTGTATGTGGAGGATCTGATTTATATAATCGGCACCAATAGAGCTGCTCTCATGAAGAACTCTGATTGGTAGGGAGGTGACCTTTCTCAGTGGAGGATGCCTACATGGACCGCTGTTCAACCACCTCAATGTAGTGATCCCTAGGGCTCCAACCATATCCTCAGAAGGGGGTTAGACCTCCCTGGCACCCACCCCAACCATCTTTGAAACGGAGGTAGTTGGAGCCCTAGGGTATGTAGGAAGCTGGACGATATTTTGGGTGCTGGGTGATCCAGCAATCTGGGTCACTCAGCTTCTAGGCTATATGGAAGTGACCTGAAGTAACCAGTGCCCCATCTGTGGTGATATGTAATGACATACGTCCCATGGAGCGTGGGGGGTGACCCATGGGGTATGTATGTTGACTGGTTGACTGCTCACTGGTTGACTGGAGAAGTGATCAAAGGAAGTGGGTTCCGCCCACCAAGCCTCTGCAAGCTCCCGTGACGTTCCTCACGAGTTCACTCAGGTATTCTGGTCGCTTGGATGCGAAGAGTGATGACTTGGGACATGGCTTCAGAGATTGCCTTGAAAGCTTTTTCGTGACATGAGGGTGATCGTTTTGGGGGGCTCAACCCTTGGACTGTGACACTTTGCTTGGGCTGGGAATGCAGGTAGACTTGGCAAGTGCCCACTGTGTGCCCAGTGTTCCAGAACCAACGGGGTAGTGAGCGGCATGTGTATCGCCACGGATTGGACCCTCGAGTGGGGTGTATGCGGTGTGACAGACCTTCGGCCAATTGGAAAAAAGTAAACCGTAGCTCCAGGGGTCTTCAGGGATGTCGAGTTGTTGCCCCCCCTCCTTGGTGCCCCCCCCTTTTGAATTCGCTCAGTTCCACAAGTCCTTATTTTATGGAAAGACGGGCACATGAACACATCGCAGCTTTTCCCTGTGTGAGTCTCTGTGTTGTGTCTTCATTTCTTTCCAGTCCGTGCATCTCAAGTATAGGGTGTGTGCATGCACCATTCAACATCCCGAGGCGTTCCCGAGAAGGACCTCCCGACGCTTCCGAAGCCCAGCATCTAACGCAGCCGAGCAAAAGAGAGTCGCGCCGCGGCGCCAGGACCTGCACGTTGGGATTGAGAAGATCTCCCTCGAAGATCCGAGATACTCTCTATAACCCATACACTCCATGGGACTGCCATATATGCCGCCCCATTGACCCCCCCAAAACCACCCCTGGCCTGATCGGCATATATGACAGTCCCATGGAGCGTCTGGGTAACGAACTCACCTGGCGCCAAACCGTGGATGGCATGGCCCCCCGAGTTCGGAAGACCATGAAATTCCGCATACCGAACAGAGGGTTTTCACTCACTCCACTTCGAAGAATGCGGCCATCGAGAAGCATCCACCCCAGGAGGCAGGTGGAAAAGAAACCATCATTTTGAGTAGGTGGTGGACATAATCAGCTCACAACCATGCCGCCCAGATGCTCATGAACCCGAAGCAGCTGCTACATCTTCGGTCCCAAAACCCTCTGAGGGTGGAACGAGCCTTTGGGTCGTTTGTGTGGGGTGGTTGACTCTGATTCCCATCTTACGAACAATGGGGGCGTCATGAGCCGGCCATGGGGGCGTCAGCCGGCCATACTGCCGGAGTCATGAGACGGTTCCCCGATCTTTCAAAACGGGAAGAGGTTGGTGGAAGCAATTGGTGCGCGGCCAAATCCAGGTTTTACTGGGTGAGACCTGGACAGTAGCAGGTGAGTTTTGACCAGGTTTCCCTGTAGCTCATTGGTTTGTCGGTTTATGGATCCTTTTTGACCGGAGACTCCTGGCAGGGAGCTGGGGTGACTTGGGTTGTGCAGTGGCGCCATCAGCGAGGGATTTGTACTGTTTGCGGTGCATGCACTGTATTGATACCTCCTGGCTGAAGGCAGATTGCTTGTCGTTTTTGTTTGGAACATGTCTTTGGCCGGTCTTCCCCGCAACTGCTCGTGCCTTCGCGTCGCGGCTCAGATTTTATAAATAACCAACAATGAACTCCCATGAACACCCTCCATGATCCTCTCGCCGTTTTGGGCAGCTGTCCATTTCGTTCAGCGCCTCCCATGACGGCACGGACGACGGTCCAGATCCCCCTGGACGACGCGCTCGTGAACGGCTTTCGGCGGCGCGGGCGCCGAAAGCTCCGCCGCTGGGCGTGGAAGAGGTGGTCGAGAGGAAGATCTGAGCGTTGCTTCTCCCAAGTAACTGGGATGGGGTAGAAGTCACGTGAAGTCACCCCGAATTTTCAGGGCAAGCACGGATCTTCCTAGATTTGGACTGTGGCTTATGTGGGTTGCCACTGACCAGTTTCTATACTGTAAATGGAATCTTCATGACAAGGGATGACCAGGGGGGTTATCTCGTGTTGTAAGTTCGAGAATCGTCTGACACTTTTAGTCTCGGCTCCAACTCGATCCTCAAAGGTCGTTTGACAGATGTAAAGGTAGTTACTGTAACTGAGAGGTGTACCTAGGTGAAATTGATGGTTAAAAGGATGTGACAAGTACCACCCCGTTTTGAAGCCATGAGAAGAAACCCACCGTGGCGAAGCCCCAAGGTGAGATCGAAGAAGCCTGCCCAGATGTACTGGTCGCTTGCCTTACAGTCATTCCCGGGAACCGAAGTGGTGCGAACGACGTGGTGCGAACGACGTGGTGGCACAGCACAGGACTTTCCACGCTCTCTACCTAGAGCCCTGATGAGTGACCTCTGATATTGGTGCTTGGTGATCCAAACTGGATCACTCAGGTTCTAGGCGAACCATGGAAGTGAGTCCGTGGACGCCCGTGCCGGGCCGCTGTGACGGAGAACTTTCAGGTCAAGTTCGACAAGGCCTCCGGATGCCTCGTGGTGAAAGGTGCCTGGGAGGCCGTGCGGCGCGTCCAAGACCAGGCGCGGCCGAGATTCGGGACGCGGGTTGGGCGAGGAGTGCAGGGAGAGAATCATCGAGAAGAGGAACATCAGAGAGCTGGTCAATGGGGAAGAAGAACAGGCAAAATGCCAAAATATGCCAAAAACTTGGTTGCTTAAGGTTGATCTATGTTTCCATATTATAGGTGAATCCCCTTCATGGTAGAGTTTTACTGGTAGTTATACTACTTTGCCCGATTCCTGGACTCTGGACAGCAAATCCAAGAAAAGATCCTACCCTATGGATCCACATACCTTCTCAGGTACGGTGATTGGAGACTATTTATGTAGGCGCCAGGAGGGTCCAATTACCTTCTGAGAAGGTATGTGGATGCATAGGGCTAAATGTTCACACACACACACACACGCAGAACTTTTGGAGTCGACTCACACTTTTCACCGCCGGTTTTTCATGTTTTTTCGCCAGTACGCAGGTGGACTGCATGAGAGGACCCCGGAAACAGCTGTCGCCCGCTCTTTGGGCGGAGCTGATGCGCACCAGGTGCCCGAGCGCGAAGCTCGCGTTCTCCGTTTTGGTGTTTGGGAGTGATTTGTTTGATGGATCTCCATTGCCATTTGGTGGTTTATACCTACAAAATGGTGGCCTTGACCCCTTGTGATGGGTAATTACCCTACACCTCCAGTCGTACCTCCAAACCGGTTCGGTATGACGTTTCGCCCTCCTGGCACCCGGGCCCCGTCCGTCCCACCGAACCGAAGACGAAGGTACGACTGGAGGCCGAGGGTTAGATGTGATTGGAGGCCGCGCATCATCGTTTGTTGGACAGATGAAGTGGTCCATCCGCACACGACGTCACATCATCAACACACACACAATTTGGCGTCCATGTACCAGCACCGACGGCCAACAGGACACCAATTTCTCACCCGCAACAGGCGCCTAACAACAACCCTCCATTTCGGAGACCTGTTGGAAGTTGCTGGTACCAGTAGATACTAAACGTGATGATGTATCACCATCTCCAAATCCCAATCCAGCTTGACCTCGGCGAAACGGCTGGGTCAGAGGGAGGGGCTCGGCGTCTAACCAAACGCGGAACGACGGTCGCGCCAGGAGTTGCCCCCTCGGGGTGCTGGAGCGGCTCCAAGCTGCGGTGGGCGCGCGGCTTCACATTGAGCGACAACGCAGAGAACTGGGCTGAGCAGAGAACGAAGGGAGAAAATCTTTTTGAGTCCAACTGGGAGAAACACATAGACACCTCTCCAAGTAGAGCAGCATGTTTGATTGGGAATTGCTTAATTACTTCGAACGTCGGTTTGAGCCCACTTCTACTTATCCTGGTTTTGCTTAAGGTGATGTGTTTTCCCTATGGGTAAGTCCACTTCATTTGCCAGACAGCTTCTCTTCCTCAATGTCGAATAATCTGGACTGGGAATGCTCAAAGAAGATGAGGCGATGAAGATGACCTATGCAATTTGCAAGGCCTGCAGAATCAGTGAGAAATCCTGTGCCAGGTTCCCCCAGGGTGCCTGAAAGTTCTCAGGTGAAGTGAGGATCTTCGGGCCAATTGCGGCAGTGGCGCAGGCGTCTCCAGAAGTGCCAACGGATGGATGGCGATTGGATGAGTCATGGCAGTGGTGAGAATGCTCCCATCGTACTTTGTGGTCCTTGATCAAGTGAGTCCCGTGGTAACATGAATCACCTAATATCACCTCCCTCAAAAGGAATAATACTTCAAAAGACGTACATGCCAATCGCTTCAAAAGATTCTTAGAAAGCTTTACGAGCACTGCCACTTCAATCCTTCAAAAGAACAACAGAACTTCACCACTACCATCAACAGCTCGACTGTGTTCGTTTGAGGTTCCTTCTCCAGCCATGGCTGGAGAAGCATTCACTCGCAGCTTTTGGTGGGATGATGGTTCATAGTTTGGTCCTTCTTCGCCTCCAAGAACCCCATGGTGGTCTTTGGTCAATGCCTGGCTTGGTCGCCGACGGTAGTACCAGGTGGATGGACCTTGAGCAGACATCCCCAGAGACTCCATGGGACTGCCATAAAAGACCCCCCTGGCACCACCCCTGGCCGTTTTGAAGGCAGTCCGTCCTGGCAGTCCCATGGGTCGTGTCTGGGATCTATAAGTCACCTTTGTTGGGATCTATTCCTTTCCGGACCGAAGAACTTCGCAGATGGGAGAACTTCCGCGGATCAGGTGAAGGTTTTGCGGATCAGGTGATGTTCCGGTGATGTTCCGGTTCAATCCCCATACCTGGTGAAGATGTTCTTATTTTTCTCCGGGTTCCTGGGCAGCAAATCCCCTTCTGGACATGGTTAAATCCCCTTCCAGCTGCAAATCCAAGCTTCCCCGCGACTTCTTCACTCCAACAGCACGGCATAATATGCGCGCGCGGGCCCACCGTCTTCGGCGAGGCTGAGCTCCTACTCGACCGGATGGAGCTGGCTTGTGTGGAGGTCTGCTTGGAAGGAGACTGGCCTGCAATGGCTGACCAATGGCAGGGGGACTGCAGTGGCTGAACTGATGATCTGACCAGTGGTTTGTTGTCATGCCTCCTTCATCCCTTCATCCTCAAGTGCATGAGCTCAACCACAAACACTCAGCGTTCCGGGCTACTTATCGATGGTCCCCTGATCGATACCTTGGCGGGCGCCAAGGTGTGGGTTCTCGAAGTCTGACTTCGACCACTGTGGACGGTTGATTATACAACAGAGGTGGGTCAGGACTCCTTCACGTTCGACTATACCAAGAGAGGTAGCCAGTGACCGTAAATAGGACCCGTCACCTGGGGTACCCAACTGGATGGTCTAGTTCGGGTCCTTCAACCTCTGTTGGTATATCCCAGTTGGGTACCCCAGGTCTTCCAGGCAGCATACGTCTGCATGTCACCAATCCATTCCATTTGGGATCCATTTGTAGATCTCGGGGTGACAGATCTTGGTGATAGATCCACCCTCTACATTCCCTAGGGCTTTTGTCCCAGCTCCTCAGGTAGAGACCCCTCCGACCCCTCCTAACCCAGTCCCCAACTCCCAAGGGCTAGGCTGGAGATAGGCCACGAGCCCATCCGGATGATCTCGGATGATCATTCCGCCAGACACACCAGGTATTTTCTTACCATACTTGCAATTTGAGCTGGTTTCATTTCAGGGGGGGCCATCATGATTTTGTGTACTTGCATTGAGCTGGTTGATTGAAAAGGGGACCCGAAGCCTCCACCGAGGCGTGGCCACTCCGTCGCAGGAAGAGCTGGAGCTCTGGTCATCGACCTGGTGCCCCGGATCGGTGAAGCAGGACATGTGGAGATGGACTGGCGACTGGCACCAGCTGTGATGATCGAGGCCCTCTTGTTTTGATAAACCTTCCTGGCTTCATCATCTCCAGGTAGGAAGGCCGATTTGGAAGGTCAGTTGGGAATTCTTCCATCCAGGTTGGTGATGCCAAATGGGATGCCTCTCCTTGCTTCCTCCGCTCCCCAAGTCTCCGCCCCGAGGTGTGTGAGCTTTCGGAGGGAAGCAGGACGGCTCTGGGCTGCTCGGTCAGGAGGAGGACTCAATGGACCCAACGGACCTGCTGCAGGTGACCAGGTGCGACCTGGGCCAGTCTGCCTGTGCTTCCCCGTAGAGCCCCAGTGAGCCAAGTGAGGGGAGTGCGGTGGGGTGAGTGGACACACCCTTGTTTTACAATGCTTTGACTGAGGAGTGTGCCATGTCCAGCCATGACTCATGCTTTCGCTCGCCATCAGCTCGCATCATCGTCCTGGTCCCTGAAGCCTCGAAAGCAGCCGCGCCGAGGTCGGTCGGTGACCCTCTTCCCAGCCTGGCTTGTCTAGGTCATAGGCACCAAGACTCTGGTCCATTCCATTCGCTCTATCTTCTTCTGAAGGAAGGAAGAAGCAGGTCTTTGGAAGACAGATCGAATGGAACGGAATGGACCAGAGTCTTTGTGCCGACCTTCTAGACCAGCCAGGCTGGGAAGAGCTTCACCAGTGACCGACCTGGATGGTCGCTGAAGGTCCTGCTGCTTCGGGTCTTCGCTGCGACGACACCGTCGCCGAGGTCCTGGGCTTTCGTGCGCTCGTGCAGCGCTTCCTCCGCGCGGCGGACCGCCGAGCCGGCGGCGCCGCCGCGGTTTCGGTCGGCGCGCGGATGGTGGACACCCGGCGTTGAAGGTGGGGAAGGTGTCGAAGGGGGGAGTGCTTGGACCTCTCCAGTCAGTGGAACACATTGGGATTCATTTCACCAGTAAATGATGTAAATGTGAGATGGAAGTCAGCTTGTTTGGGGACTGGGGATCCCCCACTAAATATGATCAGAAAAGGGTTAACCTCTTTTTTCCAAGGGAAACTGAGAGAAGCATAGAGAACCAACAGAGGTTGAACAGCCCTATAGCCCATCCCATCTATATGGTCTCTCAACCTCTCTTGGAAGCCATGAAAGGTCTTCCAGATCTTGATTCTTCAGCCATTTCAGGATGACATCTTCACACGCGTCTCGAGCGTGAGCGAGCATGAAGTCATGCTTCCTCCGCGCTTCTTCGAAGAGGTCGATGATCAGGAGCAGCCGAGAAGCAGCAGAGGTTCAAGGACCGTGTATAGAGTATAGACCATAGGTACCCCAGGTTTTCCGGGTCCTATCTAAGGTCACTACCTCTCTTGGAAAGCCGAGAAGTCTTTTTGGGGATCCGAAGCTGTGTGCAGTGAAGGGTGGACAGTTGAAGGACGTGAGGCCATGAAGGCTCCAAATGGATGGTCGCGAGGAAGGCTCCATGTCCATCGCAAGTGAAGTGGCCAGTATATGTCAGAATAGACTGACGAGAAGTGGCCATGGAACTAACATGGAAGTGGACAACTACCTGTTTGTAGTGGAAAATTGTTTTCCTTTCGGGGCCATTCTCCACATAACCATGCGGTCGTTCCAGAGAGTGTATATGCCAGAAGACTCAAAGAGATGTGTGATATGTTTAGATCCTAACCAGGTATACAGTGATTTCAAAAATAGATGGCACAACTGCACTGGCACCCCAAGAGGTCCTTTACATAGGGGTCCGGGGTCCCAGCGACATTGGGGTTAACCACCATGCCATCAACTCTGATGGACTGTAGATCTTCGCTGGGCACTGGACTCTTCGCCCGGAACAACGGCCACGGCCAGGAGGTGCAACAGAAGAACTGCCAGATCCCCAGCCCCTTGGGCATCAAGCGCATCAAGCTCCACCCCAGTGCATCCCAGGCAAAGCACTGAAGGAACCAGGGATTCTTTGGAACCACTGGGACTCCCAGCGACATCGTGGTTTGCCTGGATGCCCTGGGTACAGTTTCATCTATAGAGCTCACTTGAAAAAATTGACATTGACTTGATCAATCCCCCGATCCAGTGGATTGAGAGATGGCACTGGCACCCCAAGATGTCTCTTATATATGGTCCATATGAACCACCTTTTTGTGACATCTACTTCTTGAGACCACTATAAAATCTATAAACCACCCTCAGCTGCATTCGGCAACCAGCTGCGAATCCCAAGCCGGCAATTGAACCCTCAACATTCAAAAGGCACCAGTCGTTTGCAAATTCGAGAGTTGTAGGACACATGCGATCGGTTTGAATAGCAATTCTTTGCATGCGACATGTCCTTCCGCGTCCGCCCAGCGTCCGATGTTGCTTCATGCACCTTCCGCGTTCGCACATGAGTCAAGAAGACAACCCCACTCCTATCACGCCCGCAATCGTCGATCGTCCCCATCAACTCTGAGCTGCGTCGAATCTGCCAAGAAAAGAGATTTGACCCCGTGAAACCGGGCAACTACCTGGACCCTCCAAAGTACCTTAGAAATCCTTAGAAAATGGGACATGACCCCATAAAAACAGGTACGACTGTACCCGTTTCCGAGGTACGAACTGAGACTCCAGGTAGACCTCAAGCCTGACTCCAAACCGTCCAAAGCCATCCAAAGCATGCTTCGCCTGGCTCGCAGACGCCACCTCAGGCTACCATCGTTTTTCTGACCATGTTTCTGGGTAGCTCAGCGACCCTATAATGGTTATACGGGCCATGCATTTTGTCTTGCTTTCGTGGCTTTGATGTCACTTGTACTACTGACGTCACTTGCACTTGCTACGCCATGCGGAACGATGCTACGCCATGGATGGAACCTTTTCTGGGGCGTCCACGGCATCGGTTCGTGGACGTGCACTTCGAACCGTCCAACGACGTCCTTCGAAACGTGCACTACACCGGAAAGTGCACGTCTATAGCGAAAGTGATCGAAACTGTATAGCGAAACATCCTCATTCCGAGGACATTCCCAGCAACCCTTTCAGCACGTTCACCCCCGCCACAACACTCTCGATCCAAAAACATCATAAACACAACGCACAAATTAAATGAACAGCAACAACAACACCCGGCCCCTTACGGGCGCTGCTACCGTGTTTTTGTTCGGGGTCTCCCTAGAATATGATGCGCGCGCACACACACACACACACTTGGTTCTCGCATGGCCGGGGTCGGTTACAAGGTCCTAATCATTGGATCTGGGCGAACTTTTGAAAGCGGGCCATATGAAGTTGTAGAAGATACCCAGGACTGGCATGGACTGGCCACCGACACCGAGGTCGCTGCCCCGATTTTCATATCCAGCCTTGGATGTCGGAGGGTCTGCCGTGGGCCAACCTGGAGCTGCAGGAGGTGGGAAAAGAAGCTGAAATAATTGAACATGAAACAGATCTAGGACGATCTAGTCATTCTAGGTATGGGTCGATTGTATATAACAATCATATGCATCACTAGTTTTATAAAGTGAACGTACCACATGATAGAGTTTTCTCCTACTAGAAAGCCATTATTCTATAATTCTTTGTGAGGAAGACCTTCCCTCTTGTTGAGCAGCTAGATGCTTTGAAGGTATGGCGAGCTTCAGTGTGAGAGGATGCGCGAAGAAAAGACGCCATGTAGCATGTAGCGTGTTTTATGCATGTGGGTCTAAGTACCCAGCACTACCGAAGGTGGTGCAGTGTTGTGCCCCTTTGCAATAAATAGGCGTTATAGTTCCGTTATAGTTCCATTTTGAAGCCTAGCGGCGGGTTGCAGTGGGTCATCCCAGTCGCTTGTCCAAGTCGGGTTTCGAGGCCGACTTGGATTCGCAGAATGAGTGGAGGTATACGTTACAATGTTTGCATGGTGGCTTTTTCAGATGGTCTTCCAAGCGAAAGTCTAAGATACGTCAGCATTGGGAGCAACACAGTCTGCCAATGTTTCTTTGTGGCCGGCAGGTTTACTTGGCCATGACCTGCATTTGTTTACTGGGCTAGGACCACCAAATTACTGGATCATGGCACCAGACCACCCGCAAGCAGACCACCTGCTAGGGCAGCATTTGCAGCCGGAAATGCTTGGACCTGGCGGATGAGATGAGCAAGTTCGATTGCGACAACTGAATTGGTCAACAGCACTTGGTCTCTTCCCTAGTGCCTTCCGAGTGCCCGACTTCACATGCACGTTTGAAGCCTCCACTCACCACGAGCCACCTATGCACGCGTCACAACCGCGACTTCACGTTTGAAGCCTCCACTCACCGCGAGCCATGGACAGCACGCATGGCTGTCCATGGCTGTCCTGCCCGCCCATGCCCACCCTAAAAACGGGGGGCCCGCGCTCGGCTCGGCGTTGCTGATGCTTGCGGAGATGGTTGGAAAGAGTTTGGCGAAGATGTGCACCAACCAGTGCAGTGGCCCCCTGACCCCTTACGTTACAAAAGGCCCTTTTTCGTGGCAAATTCTTTGGAAGTTGAAGTCAATTGATTGAGCAACGCACACACAGACGCACGGATATGTGTTAACAAACACATTAGACACAGACACACACACACACACAAAAAAAAAAAGAATAGACATCACGTGTTTTCCTCGAAGCATGAGGGTCAGGCGTAGGGGACACGCCCTAGCCCAGGCGACAGGCCTCAGAGTGCAGCTTTCACTGCTTCATTCACACATGACACACACACACACATTGTATTGTACAAATCATCGAGTTGAAGCAGACCTGACATGACCAAGCCTGGTGTTGCGAATCAGGTGATTCCTCATTCTCCTGGTTTGGGGGTCATGTTGTTTTCCTGGTTTGGGGGTCATGTTGTTTGGGGGTCTAAGTCACGTTTTTGGGAGCGTTCTTTTGGGGCGAAGATATGTGTTCGTTTTTAGGGATACCTTTTTGTCGGCCACGTGGCCATATGGATGTAACTGGTGAAGCATGGCAATGGCTGCGGTGACACATGAGGCATCAAAAGGAGCTGCTCTATTCAGGATACTCACGGTGAATGGGCCACTCAGGGTCTACTAGGAGACTGCACCAGTAATCACATGGTTTGGCGGATATGTGCCAAGAAATTAAAGAAGTATATACAGTATATGATATATGCTTAAGCCATATCCCAGACACTCCATGGGACTGGCATATTTACATAGGGGGGTGGTTTGGGGGTCAATGTAGGTAAATATGCCAGTTCCATGGAGTGTTTGGGTATTTACATGGTTCCTCAACTGCGATGAACATGTGGCCGGAACACGTTCCTGCCAGGATAAAGCTAATATGACCAGCCAGGCAGCCAAGGAAACGTTTTTGTTTGGTCATGTTTCAGTGTGGCAGTGATTTGGCTTCATTGCACCTAAGTCATCACCCAAGTCATCACTCCGGACTGCCATAGATGCGCCCCCGCAATTCCACCACCCCTGGCCTGATCGGAAGTCCTATGGCAGTCCCATGTGTCGTGTCTGGGTCATAGTCATGAGACGCTGCCGAGAGAGAGAGAGAGAGAGAGAGAGAGTGAGAGAGAGTCATGACAATCACCACTGTCTTTGGATGTTTGGTTGGATCGCTGCAATGAAAAAAGACTGCGTTTGGTCGCGTGCGATCGCCAGTCTCATGCTGACTGGTATAGTCATTGGTATAGACTGCCACTGCCTCTTCAAAACTGAGACCGCCCCGCTCGGCTGAGACTTAAGGAGCAACCTTGACATTGAGAGGTTTTGACGCTTTGACCCTCTTTTTGGTTCTACACGCGGCCGCTGAACCCGTGTTGTGCCATGCCTTTTCTTTGGGGACACTTTCAGAAGGCAGTCAGGCTTAGGCGGGGGCCCGAAGCGCGGGACACCACAGCCCAAAGCCTCCTAGCTTCCCTCATCTCACGCAGAAGCACGGTACTACTGGTACCGGAGCCCCGAGGCCTGGTGAGGCGATCGGTCGCATCGTCCGAGGACCTTGGACGCCATCTCGCCGCTGCGTTCCTCCCGCAGCAGTGCCCCGGAAAGAGACGTAAGGACTGGCCGCTGGGACGGGGTCGCTGGCGACAGGGAGAACCCTGGGAGTCAAAGACTATAAAAAGAATGGTCTGACTAGGGGACCTGAAAGGGAACTTCCTTTACTTCAGCCGGTCAAAATATAGTCTTTGGACTTCTAGGGATAATAGTAGGGACATTTAAGCTTCAAATACACTTCGAAGGCCCACCCCCCAAACAGATGGAGAGGACGATAACAGGACGATGTCCAAGGAGTTCTGGAAACTGCGCAGTGCAAATGGCACGACGTGTGTGTTTTTTTGGGGTCCGGCCTGGCAGGCCTGGCCAGGATCGCACGCGCCGGCCGGCACGTCAAGATCGTCATCCTCCCACCTGCCTGGGGGTGATTCTGCGGCAGATCTGTGCCCATCTCCGAGCCTTTTTTCAGAAATGATTTGATCTTGTCTTCTTGAGTGTAGTTCGGTTCCTTCGCCAGATTTCTTTCTGGCACCGAACTAGGAAGAAACTCCACGAAACTCCTAGATAGAGATCACGGTCAATCCTTTGATTCCTTTGTACCAGCTCTTTTTCTCGGTGTCGGTCCCATATCATTTCATCCATGCTGATCATGGCCCCTTCAATGACCATGACATCCGAGCACCAAACCGGTTTTGGTCCACTACACACAGATGATCCTGGTTTTTGCGCATTTGGGGTGATATTTTCCCCAGACACCTGGGTCAATCCCCAGAATTATCTCCCAGACACGACACGTGGGACTGGCATCTTGACCTAATTACATTGACCTAATTACAACAACCACCCCAAGGTATGTATAAATATGCCTGTCCCAAAGAGGTCGTGTTTGGGGTCTGAGTTGTTCCTTCCTTTCCCCGGCCTCCTGGGAGGGTGCCACCCATCCGTGCCTGACGTACGGCTCGTCTCCGGCCGGAGCGACGTGCCGCTGCGGTCGACCACCAGGTATGACCTGGAACCTCGGCAACTCGCAGGAGCGGCGGGGCGAGGACGACGGTTTGGGGTTTGGTTCGACCCCGATTTTTGACCCAGACCCGGACACGACGAATGGGACTGCCATAGATGCCTACACGAAATCCTCTAACCAGCCCCAATGTAATAAGCATGTATGGCATACATGGAGTGTCTGGGATAGTCCAGGTGGTGATGGGATGGAACAAACATGCACATTCCTGCATAGATCTGCATGGTGCATCTCGTCAGTTCGGTCAACCACTCCGGGAAAGGGGTGGTGGTGGGAGAGAGAGTTTGGGTGTGTGTTTTTCGAAAGCTTGACCGCTCACTTGATTGAATGGCACTCGTGGGAATGAGCCGATCGAGCTGAGAGAGGGAGAGGAATCATCTGACAAAAGGAAAGGGGGGATCCGTTTGACGGAGCCAGCCTTCCACTGCCCAGGCACTCCATGGGATTGGCATATTTACATACATTGGGGTGATTGTTTTAGGGGTCAATGTAGGTAAATATGCCAGTCCCATGGAGTGTTTGGGATTGGTTTAGATCGAGATTCCAGGACCTGGAGGAGTTTCAGGATGTTTCATTAAAATTTAAGTTCCTTTAAGCATCATGAAGCAATGGAGCTGCTGCTGTGCCAGGAAGTCTTCCAAAGGGCCACTGCGAAATGCTCTGTGAAGCTGGGTTGCCGCGTCAGGCGGGGGAGAACTGGTTCTATAGCGCGATGCGGCAGTGGGCAATGATACGCTGCATGCGGTGCTCTACAAAATTCCTCCCCAAGAAGAAGAGGTTTTGCGGTGTTTGCTGTGAAAAAGGACGCGGCTCTGCGAGTAGGATGAGGCCCCCAACACAACTGTGTTTGCTGTGGGTCAGGAAGCCATTCTGCTGCTGCTGCTGCTGCCAATTCTTTTTGCTTCCGTGCCGGTGACAGCGGGGTCTGTGCCGCCATGTGAATGGAGCCGGATGCCGACGGCCTGGGGAATTCTGGCTTTTTCCCTGAGACACTGAAACTGGAGTCAGCCTAGCAGCTAAGCATGTGGATCTAGTCCGCACAACGGTTTTGGGCTTAATGATTTCTACGAGTAACAAGGACGCTACTAGTAGCTCCTGGCATCGCCACTAGTGGCAAGAAAGTACAAGTAACAAGGCATCTTACTACTAGAAGCAAGAAGGTACTAGTAGCTCCTCATTGTGCAAAAAAGAAGAGACATAGCCGTGGAGGTTTCATTTCGACAACTGAGTGGCGAAGTGATGATTCTTGAAGTCATGCCAGAAATGACTGGGTGGGAACTCAAGCAGCGGATCAAGGACCGCCAGCTTTGGGATGATGAACTCAAGCGTAAAACAACCCGTGTGGACATTGTTCTGGGGCCGAGCAGAGTGCTAACGAACAACGAGACAGCTGCAGACGCGGGCCTGCCTTCAGAATCAGAAGCGACCATAATTTTGAGATCCAATACTGTGACGTGCTCCGACAAACGTGAGTTTGTCCGGTTTGTGCATGAGTTGGGCTTCGATTCCGTATTTATTTGTGCCCAACTTGCTGAGTACTCGGATGATGATGAGGAGGAGGAGAAGGAGGAGGAGGAGGACGACGACGACGACAACGACGAATGACGACGACGACAACGACCTCGACCTTGACCACTCGGAGTCATTATTTGTAGTTCAAATCACAAATGGTGCAACAACTATTGTTCCAAACGAATTCAGGGGCTGCAACTTGTTGGCAAGTGTGACCATCCCCGACTCAGTCTTCACATCGCTGGCGATCTTCACCTCGGCCGCCCTGGCCGCAGTCGGAGGAGCCCCAGGGGCCTTGGTTGTGGCATGGGCCTGTGTCCTTTCCATCTCCGCCAGGTATCGCAAAATGGTCGCGAGAACGTGTGGAATGCCTGAGTTGACATACACTCCATGGAACTAACAGCGAAGTGGTCGAGTGGTCCCTTGGAAGACCATTTTCCTTTCTACAACCAAACAGGGGGTTTTCCACTTCCATGTTAGTTCCAGGGGGTGTATTCCGGGTTGTGTGTCGAGGTGTTGGGGGTTCTGAAGGGCTCAACCTCCAGCCATGTGCTTCATGAATCTCAGCCTGAAGGCTGATGTCAGCAAAGAGCATGCGATGATGCTGGGGTGCAGGGATGTACCGGGTGCAGGTTTGTATCTAACATTCGTTTGTTGCCTGCCACCGCCCAGTGTGAGACAAAGTAGCAAGCCAGGAGGCGCATATATATATATATATATATATAGCTCCTGTGTTGTTTTTCCATTGTTTCCTTCCCTGCAGGCAGATCAACTTCCTCCAAGAGAAGGGCTGCCCTCAGCAGGTCGTGGTGGACGATCAGGGTCACTCAGAGACCTTCGACCGAGTAGCGACTTGACGCCGGAAAGCGGATGATCTTCCAACACTTCACCACCCGCCCCTCACTTCCCTAGGGCTTCAACCATATCCTCAGAACTTAGTTAGACCACGTTAGACCCCCCAAAACCAACCCCAACCACCATCCCAGGAGGTAGGCCAGGAGCCCAAACGGGCTTAGTTCTAGGTCAAGCTTCGTGCCGGGTAGCCGGTTCGCTGCCCGGTCGTTGTTTCCGCAAACTCCGAGGTCTTGGCGTGTCCCGCCACCACGTCTGCAAACCTCCTACGCCCGGCGAACTGGAGACTTGGGCGGCCTAGGAGCGTGCACCGATCCTTTCCCATTCGTGAGCTGCTGGAAGCCCCCCATATCCCTAATTAGGAAGACAGGACCGGAGGCAGGACCTGAGGTAATAGGTGGCTTAGGTCAATCCATTGATGTCACATTCGCTTAACAAGACTGATCCCGATATATGGTCGCCAGTCCCAGTTTGGGAGAGTCCTCTTGGATCCTCCAATGAGTTGAGCCAGATGACCCTACGGACCTCGCACCCTGGTGCCGGCGTGAACTCACATGGAAGCGGCGTGAAAACCACGTGTTTTTTTGCATGAGGAGCATGGGAGACGACAGAGCGCCCATATGATCCACCCTCGATGTGTCAAGGCTCGTGCACCCTGTTTTCGGCTCGTGCATCCCCGAGTGACGCAGACTCTTAGACCCACCCGCCCATCTCCTAAGGAGGGTCATTCCATGTCATTCCCCTCCTATCCGCAGACACTCTCTCAGTGGGTCCCAAGCCCAGCGTCAAATCTGTCTCTAAGGATCGAATGGAGCTTGTTGCAAGGCGTGGAGTACCACGACGAGGCCATGCGCGTCAATGCGCGTCATCCGCGCGCGCATGGCTTTTCTCCGTGCGGATTCCCTGACGGAATGCGGAACGTCCGTTGCCCCGCGGGCATCCCCTGGTTGGTGCGGGGTGACAGTGATGTGATATTTCCCTAGGGCTCCAACCACCTCCTGAGAAAGTGCTTGGGGTGGGCGCCAGAGGTGTCTAACTACCTTCTGAGCCGCCCGCCCGTCTTCGGCGCGACGGGCGCCGTCTTCTCGCGACGTCTCGTGCGTTCTTCCGACGTCCTTTGCGGCAGGTGCACAACTCCGATTGGAAAGACGGACGTTTGACCAAAGTGCAACTGCAGGTGACTGGTGGTAACTACCAAAGAGATTCCTGGACCCCCAGTCGGGGTGGTTCATGGACACCAAGAATCACAGCTAAGGGGCTATATATTAATAGACACCCCTTGGAGGGTCCTGGTACAAGTAGTTATTCAGCTACTGTTTTCAGATCTACATGATGCTTTAGATCGTATATTATATAGTTACAGGCTAAGTTCCACAGAACAACCATGCAAGTTTTGAAGGCATCAATTACTGCGGGTACTGCCCCTGCAAACCCAATTCTCTTGACTCCAGAAGACACTGGATTGGATCTTTGCAGGATTGGTTGGATGTACCTGTGCATCAAGACGCCAGTTGCCTGCCTATGAAGCATCATCAGTCTTTGCCCCTTGGATCATGGAAATTTGGGAGCTCCTCACATGAGAGACCTTCACTCATGAAGATTCAGTTTTGAGCTTCTTCAATTTGGCCTAGTCGGCCTTTTACAGTAGATGTTGCATGATTTTGCATGATTGGAGGGGTTTGTGGAATAGATCTTCAGATAAAGTGACACCTTCTCTGGCGGAGCCACCGGATAAAGGGGCACCTTCATCAGCCTTGACCTGTGGGACTTGATGACTTGATAGACAGCCATGATCTGTGCATCACCATGACTTGGGGATTGCTCACGAGTGCCTTACGTTCTCTTGAGTGGATGTCCATGATCCATCTATTCAGCAACCAACCAATAGTAAAAGGCCAACTAGGCCTTACCGGGTTATGAGCAGTCAGCAGTCACGTTCTTATTCTTCTTGTTGTTGTTGCAGTTGTTGCAGGTGTTAGTGCAGTTGCTGTTGTTGCTTTTTGCCCATCGCTTGTCTCAACCAGGACCATGTTTCACCTAAAGCTGCTTGCATGCAAAGGCGGCAAGCAACATCCCCAAAACGAGCAGCTCAGAGTTTGTCAAACTTCGGTGCATTTGTTCTATGAAAAACTTTGGTCCCCTTTTTCCATCACAGGCAAACGGACGGGTAGTGCACAAGAATTTTGCAAACACCTATTCTACTAACTTGGTAAGAGTGGTTTTGGCTGACCCCCTTTCCACACCACCCTCTCCATTGAACCTTCCAGACTGGAACGTGCGGCCTTTCTGATCGATGTGGACGCCGATGGCCGCGCGGGCGGCGGAGTCAACGTCGAGCCAATTGGGTGGCAGCGGTCTAGGCATGTCGTCGTGCTTTGGGGGGGAGCTTGGGGCCAAAAGATCCAGGTGATGCCTCACCTACCCAGGAAAAGTGGATCCCCTGCACGCTCTTCCCCCTGAAATCCTTTCGGCGTTTTGAAAGGCAAACCCCGGTATTGTCCAGGGAAACGGCCCCTAAGGTCACCTACAAAGCATCCAATACCAGGACCCCCATGGGTCGTGGGTGATAAAATGGACACCCCTTAGACCTAGCTAGTTGTTCCTTTTTGCGGGGGCTGGGGTTCGTGTTGTTCTAAACGCACCCAAAAACCCTACCCTACAATACATGTTGCAAGCTTGGCGTACTTTGGTCAGGCGGGACTGCAACTATGGCCTACATGACTGTTACATGACGGTAGTTTTCATGTAGGCCATCTTGGCACCGCTGTTGGTCGCGTTTGGGTTGGTTTTCTGGGGGGTCGGCTCCCCGAGGTATACGCATAACCTGGGAGCCTTCAGCCCTTCCGCCACGAGCTCAGCGGTGATGCCATTGGTCCAACCTAGAAGTGATGGCCTCCAACCTACTAGCGATGGCCTCCAACCTAGAAGTGATTCGAATTCCTCTGAAGAACAGTTGGAAAAGGCTTCTTTGCTGACTACCTTATAGACTTTTTCTGCTGGCACTATCACCCATAGACTGCCATGATGCTGTACCCCTAGGATTCCTGGTTCACCATTAAACTCATGCTTCTTATGGAGAAACCCAGCAACCCTTGTTTTCCGAAGGATGATTGCACTATGACATCAGGTCTTTCCCATTTTTCTTCACCACGGTCTTCTCGGTTTGATCGGACACCGAAAAAAACGGTGGAAATAGGATCCGTGCGGCGAGCCGTGCGCGTCTTGACTACTGAGGCCCGATCCCTTGGGGTGGCGCCAGCGGATTGTCCCATGTTCATGACGCCCAGATGAAATGGGCGAAAACGCGGTTGGCTTTGGCGTTGCGATGGCCAAGTGAATCTTGGGCCTTTCGGGATGTGTTTCAGAGATTGTCAGAGTTAATTAGTTTTAACATCTCAGGAACAACTGTGGTTGTCAATGTTTGCCGTCATTCGGTTACAAGGCGGCAAAAGGAGCCATCTACCACGGTCCACATATTGATGCGTCACCCGGTTCCCAGCACTAGAATTTAAAACTTTCCAGACTGCAGCGACTCGAGCCGATGTGGTGGATGGCATGGCCTGGAAGAAACGAAAGGAAGACACGAGGGCTTTTCAACGACTTGAAGTGTCAGGATGATTTGCCAGAGGTTGGCGCTGGCAATGAAGCAAGAGCCTGTTGGATACTGTACTCCTTTCTGATTGACAAGATGGTTGCAGAGCCCAACCACAGAAAAAAGAGCTATTCACCAGTTGGTCCTCCGAGTTGTTCATCCTGGAGGCCATGCCCTGGCCAACTCTATGCAAACTGCCGGTCCTGGTGGGCCACGAGAATCCATTTACGGCTCCGTCGGAACAGCATGACGCTTCCTCTACCCTCCCGGTGAATTCACTCCTCTCACCCATGATGAGCTGGAGCTTTCGTGTATAACTAGCACTTGTTACTAGTAAGCTTCTTGTTACTAGTAGCCATGCCCGTGTTACTAGTAGTACTGCCCTACTGCCCTTGTTACTAGTAGCTTCTTGTTCCTTCCAAGGACGCAATGCTTGCACCACACCCGGCGGCTCGATCCATCCAAAGAAGTGCAGCGCTTCAGTGCTCCGCGCGGGCATCCTTGCCTCTCGACGCACAACATGACGCTCGGCAGTGGGGGCTGCGTCGGCGGTGTCGGGTGTGGTCTCAGAGTCGATACCGGGCTCCTGGCCACCCCCTCCGTTTCGGTTCGGTGGGACAGGGGCGGGTGCCAGAGGGGGCTAACCATCGAACAGGAGATGGGACAGGAGCCCGGCCCGGTATAGTGGGCCATCTGAGCTCTGGCACTGGCACCCCAAAGATGTCTTAGACAGATGGGGTGCATATGAAGCTCCTTTGGGGGATGGTGCCATCTATCTATATATATATATATACGTATATACTCTGAAACGCTATGGCTTGGGTCTGTCCCAGTACACCCGTAACGGTCCCCGTGTGGGCTCCAGTCATACCTTGTGAGGTGTTTGAGGTGGGTGCGCGAGGAGGGTATGACGAATGCCTTCGTTCCGGAGGTATGGCTGGAGCCCTAGGGCCCTACATTTGCGGAGTGCTGGGTATGGCATGGAATTCGGACACGTGTTGACATTGAACGTCATTTCGGCTTCTAAGTCGTTTGGGTCTGATCCGGAAGTGATTAGTTCTGATCTGATCTGTGGGACGACCTTCAATTCTCTGCTTTGGCATTCTCAAGTTTACGTCCTTTCAAGGGACCAGAACTTCTTGTGGTCAGCAATCTGACAATCCCCGTGCTCCACTTGACTTGCTTGACTCCTAGAACTTCGGTGCACAGCCGTTTTTAGAGCCCTGTCCCCACTCTTGCTTTTTTAGAGTCACCGTGGCTTTCGCACCACCTGGCATTCAGGTCTGTCACTGTAGGTTCAACTGTAGGTCCCACCCCCGACGTGCCATTCTCGACCCTAGGAACCAGCACGTGGGATGTGAGGCATGAGTTTGGAAGAGGGGAACATCTTTCATCTCCCTGTTTCCTGTAGATGTCCCAACAAAACAGCCCATTCCAGGAATTCCGCTCGGCGTTTCATCTCTTTCACCTGGACTCGCGGACGAGGATCATCACACAGATGCTACACCTGGTGCAGGGCCGCAGGGGCCTCTACTGCTCCTAGGTCCGAACCAGCCCGTCCGCTTCGACGGCGCGTGCGACACCGGAACCCTGACGATGACAGGTGACCCCACCGAAGAGAAGGGACGTCTTGTGTATAGAGAAAGAGCTCCCAGAACCGAAGTATAGATCCCTACACCTCCTGTCCCATTTCCTCAGGTTCGGTGGTTAGACCCCCCTGGCACCCACCCCAACCATCTTCGAAACGGAGGGGGCGGCCAGGAGCCCAAACGGGGATGTTGGTTCTCCACGAGTTCGGCGCCAGATGTTTGGGACCATCCCCCAAAGCAAGGTCGTTGGCCCAATGAAAAGCTTCAAACCGAAGACGCTGGGTTCGGGACACCACATAGCGCCCGCGGTGGTCAAGATTTGGCAAACCTATAGCTTTTGCATTTTTGATCGTCTTAATTGTATGAAGATGCTTATTGTACCCCAAAAAAGTTTTTTGGGTGAACACCTAGATCACTTGGCCCAAAAGTCACCCATAATATCGATCGTGCTTTTCATGGGTGGGTGCTTTCATTCCCACCCCCCCATCCTAAGCCGGTCCAAACGCACGTCAGCGCGGTGAGGTTCCAACTGGACCTCACCGGGCAACGGCCACGACTTGGCGTGCACGTCAGGGCTGGCGGTGGCGAGCGCCATTGGCGCTCAATATCCACTGCAGGCGCGCGGTGGCGAGGGATCTGAGGATCCGAGGAGGTCGGCCTTGGCCCGGATCGGACCTTGGATGATTTGCCGAAGCCTATTAAGAGGCTAGCTAGAATTCCAGTTTTCGGGGGGACGTTTTCGGGTTTACAGTTGCTTTCAAGTTTAGAGTTATGAGGCAGAGGATAGATGATGAATATTGATGAATGATTCATTCAGCTAACTTCTGGGAGGGTATGGTAGCAGCATGTAACAGCTCGGGCAGTAGTCGAGAGCTTGTTTACCTGGTTGCATTTTTCCAACCCCGTTTAAGAGGTGCCGTGCTTGAACATTTGTCAACTCATGTTGTGTTTGGGATAAGGCCACCCAAGCGGAGCAGGACCAGCAACGCCCCCCATCTCTAGCCCATCCGGACCCAAGGACGATTACTCATTCTAAGTTATTCTTCCACCAGGATGAAGAGGCGCAGAGGGACCATCGCGATTGCCGCCGCTTCATGTGGGTTTGAGCCGCTGCGCCAATCCTCCGCTTGGCCGCGGCGAGGAAGAGTTTCGTTCAAGGATCGAATCATGGGAAGGCCAGACGCCTCTGGAGCAGAAAAGCGGCTGCAGAATTGAAGGTTTTGCTTGCAGAAGTCCAAGGGGATGTTCTGGAATTTCTTTGAAGGGTGGGATGCAGAGGCGACGATCCTGTACTGTAGCACTTTAGATGCTTGGACCCGACTTCAAGTACCCTAGAATCCTACTAGAAATGGGACAGTACAGTACCCTATAAGAACAGATATGTACCCACTGTACCCTAGAATCCCTAGAAAAATGGACATTACCCCGAGTTACTTGGAGGGTTCAGGTAGATTGCTCATGATGGCTCCTTCAATCAAGAGATCCCTTAGCATCCTCCTTAGCATCCTTTGGGATCTTTTCCAGACGTGTTTTCGGTGGCTTTGTCCCAGACATTAACTTGCGATATCGCGATTGGCTGATTGCAGGTGCTTCTTAACCCTTGGTCATTTGGGGTCAACCTAGATTAAACAGCTTGAGACATTGAGAACATAAGCTCCCTGTAGCCTGTAACCCTCAACCCAGCCAAGCATACGAACTACTTATATAGTTACATTTAATATCATTTAATTTCAATTTACTGATTACTCTCTTTTTCTGTGTGCCAGTCTGGATGGTGCCTTGGAACAACGTTCTCTATATCACCCTTCCCAGCTCCGACTTGGACTGCTATCTTTGAGGCTTTGAAGGAGCAGACCAAGCACATACCGAGGAACAGTTGATAACCTGCAAAACCTGTTTTTGTGCGTGGCTTCCCCACTAAACTAGAACAGGTAGAAAGTTAGGTTAACCTGATAACCTCTGTTTGTGAGGGCAAACTGAAGGAGGCAGGCAAAAAGTTGGCATCATCGCCTCAACTTTCCACCGCCTCAACTGCCTGGGCCACACATGTGAAGTCCAATTGACGCTAACCCTGAAAGGGTCACCGTTGTGGGGAACGAGAGCGCTTGGCTTCGATTTCCGGACAAAGACCCGCGCTCGCGCCAATTCCGTGGGGCTTGAGCCTGAGATGACATTTTCCCACACAACCTACTAGCGATGGCCTCCAACCCTCCAACCTAAGAGCGATGGCCTCCAACTTACTAGCGATGGCCTCCAACCTACTTCTCTCCTGAGATTTGCGGGATCTTGCTTGGCAAAGGTGTAGTGAACTCTCTCACAGATCACCATCGCCCTGACACTCCAAGTATGGCATATTTACTTGCATTGGGGTGGTTGAAAAGGGGATGAATGTAGGTAAATATTCCATTCCCAAGAGTGTTTGGGTATAATGAGTGTGTTTTTGGTTCGACAGAAATGGTTGGTCGTTGTTCATGGTGGTTCTGTTTCAAGAATTCCGAAGTACCTTCAGGGGAATCGGGATTTTTTGATCCTCCTGGTTTCAAAGCCAATCCAAGTGACAAGGGCCTTCGGGCCTTCGGGGTACTATGCATGAAGATCTACTCCCAGACATTCCATGCAGATCTATTATACTCCTAACAAGTCATGACCCAGAAACACTCAATATATGGAATCGAAATGAATCCAACACATGTGTGCATTGACCCCTGCAATCAGCAATCCCAATGTAAGTAAATATGCTAGTCCCATTGGTCATGTTTGGGACTGGTTGATGGCTCCAAGACATGGCTCGGCCGCCAGATGATCGATGACAAGAAGAACATATGTTCTATTGATGTTCTTTCGCATGGACCAAACCCATCCCAATGAATTCCAAAACAATTGAACCACCACTTGCCTCATTTTTTGGAGGAGGTTTTCATCCGGGCACAACTATAAATGGTCAAGCTCAAGCGCATCTGCAGTCTTTTGTGGGAACCACGATCCATCGCACCTCCCTGCCTTTCTGGAGGAGAACCGTCCCACCTGCTCTCCCTCTCCGCGAGGCCAGCCCCAAGCGCCGGAGCCGGAGGCCGAGGACGCCGACCCCGAGCCGCAGAGCACCCGGCTGAAGCCGGAGCACCCGGGGCATGACTCGGCAGCGCCTCAGAGCACGATGCCGGATCCCCCCCCCATCCATCCGCAGCTCGAAGCGGGTGAAGGAAGGCAGTGACGGAGGGTCAGCGAGGAAGGGAGAGAGGAAGACTAGAGGTTTTGCGTTCCATCTCTTTGGGGGAGGGTTATTCATGTAGATTCACTGTAGACATCTGTAGACTCTCTTACTGGACCTGGATTCACTATCCAAATGAACGTAAGGGAGAGTCTGGCAGTTTCATTCAGAGTCGACATTACCTGGTCTTGCTGTTATTGGATCCCGCACTGGGTGAAACCCCGAACTGTCGGGAATCTCTTTTGCTTCCTGGACGGCAACTCCGGGTGCAGACTGCAGATATCTGAGTGCGTCCAAGCCTTCAAAGCTGGTTTGGGTCACACAAAGTTCAAGAAACTCCCAGATCTTTCCAGGAATGTAGAGTATCCTTTGAAACCATGGGTGTAACATGTTTCCAGGAGCCACAGAGCTCGGGGTGGTGGATATGTTCGTTTGTCGTGGATGTGAAGTCGGGGCCAGTGGCCAAGGGCCCGGCACCCTCCATGAACCTCGCCATGGAACTGCTGGTATTTCTTATATTTCCCTTCTTCAATGAAACTTCTTGAAGGATTGGCACTCCAGCAAGCAAGAACCCCCCCCAAAGACGGATTCAAGAGGCGTTGTGGAGCTTCACCGATCTCATTTCGTCAACGTGGAACGAAGCATTCAGGAAGCATTTGGGATCGGTTTCTTCAAGTGGAAATACGTTGAGAAACCTTGAGCTGCTGAACCCTTGAGCTGCTGACCCCTTTCCCACGTGTTTCGTGACACGCGACACGGCGGCCGGTTGTTCGAAAGCAGAAGAATGGATCGCGGCCGGAGGTATTTTGTGGAGGTCTTCCGTGGCATGGGACTCTGAGAGGAATTGGGCCAGGACTTGTCAGGCTGGAGTTCCTCAATGGGTGTGGTTTTCAGATCCTTCTAGTGTCCCTAGGGTACGACTGGACCCTCCAAACCTATACCTTATTGGATCCAACTAGTAGCTTCTTGTTACTACTAGTAAGGCACTTGTTACGAACGAAGCGATGCACTTGGAACACTAGTAGCGAGGCACTTGTTTCTGGGTGTCAGTTCGCCTGTAGGGTCGAACTTGTGCACCTGGCGAGCAGGAAGTCGCAGACGGTGTCGGGTGTTCCCCATCCGGGTAGAGCATCGCCGCCTCCCATCGTACGTAGAACTGGCCGAAGAATAGAAGAGATCAGGTTTGGGGATCTCATCCACCCTGAAGTTTCGGAATTCATGGGTGGATGAGATCCCCATCAGGGTGGATGAGATCGTGAATTTGTTTCTTCCATCATTGATGGAGCATCGCACCATGAGTCATGAGATGAAATGCACCTTTTTTTTTAAAATCTTTTTTGGATGTCATGGACCAGGAGGCACATGTAAAATTGTCCCTTTTGTTTCAAGTTGCACAATGCGTACCATCATGTGGCTGTTTGATGCAAGCAAGCTACGGCGGCTATGGTAGGTATGTGTAGGTCAATGCTGGCTGGTGAGGACTTATACAACTTGAAGTTTTGGATTCCCCGGCTATGGAGGTGCATATTTTAAATATGTTGGACTTGGCTCGCTCCGAAGGTCTACCTCATGTGGAGCTGTGCATGTGTCCATTTGGTTATGTATATATCGACTATATAAAGATGAACTCTTGGGGTGGCTATATGGCACTCTACATCCATGAGCCGCATCACAGATGCATCTAAGGACAGGTGGTGTTCTGCAACAGTAGCCTCTCGGGCGTCTTCATCGTCCGGTGGCCCAGCGGCCCAGCAGGGGGTCTGTGGTACGACAGGCAATGTCACTTTGTGAAGACTTATGTGACATGAAGTATACCAAAATCAAGGTTCGTTCCCTAAACAGGGAGACTGGTTCTTTCTTTGAACTAAACCATGACTCCATGACTCCTACAAAGGAAGAACATCCATACGCCCAAAGGTTTGGTTTGGTGTTTGCTGCTTTTGTTGTTTCTTCCAGAAGCCAGGTGCATGCTGTTCACATTTGTTCGATCAATGTCACGGATGCATGGCGTGCCTTGTGTTTCGGAACGTTACAAGACTGGACTGTTCAGAACTTGTTCCTCTCACTTTTTCACATTCCATTCCATGAAAAGGTTATATAATAAGACCCGAAAATCAAGACCATACTGGGGTAAGGATGAGATACGCCCCAGAAGATTAACATGGGACCTGATGGCATGGACCTTTAGAAGACTGTTTTCCTCTACAGCTCAGTGGCTTTTCAGGTTCCATGTTAATCTTACACGACGTAGTCTGTAGGGTTCTTCAAGCTTTGTTGGTTTGCGTCCACCTTCGTTGAGGCTGGAGCTTTGATGCTTGGCGATCCACAGCACCCCGGCAGGCTTTGATACTTTGTGTGGAGGAACTTGTTCCTCAAGGGGGTGATTTTGTGAACCAGTGGTTAGTTTTTACTGGGCTAGCTGTGTTTTTTTCTCCGAACCTGACATGCTCAACCTTTGGCTTGCAACTGCTGATCATCTCCTTTTTGTACATCAGTGCCCCTCAACAAAACAACACAATTTGTGCTAGTTAGGGTAATTTGTGAGAAGGGCCTTTACCAAGCATCATCATCCACTGGGCCCTGGCAACCGGAGAGTATTTCTTCCAACCCAAAAAGCCTCAACCTCCTTTTACCCGATGGATTTCTGGCCTCAGGGTCCCTGTTCAAAGGTTCAGGCTCCATGTGGACAATGAGGTACTGTACGTGAGATACATGAGATACTGTCTTTGTCTTTCTGACCTCCCCATTTTCCTCGCCTCTCACGTCCATACCTCGCTTTTCCGCCGTCCTGATGACCAGAAAAGACCTGGGTCAGGTCTCGGTCGGGCGCTCCCAGCTTCCCAAGATAGCGCTGCGGGGTCCGGTCGTCCCTACCTCCCTACCCAGTGCTGCGGGGGTGTACACCTCCGTCGGTCGAAGTGGACTTCACACCCCTTTGCGTGGTGAGTGGTGAGTCGGAGAAAGTCTTCCAAGAAGCCATGGGAATCCATGGCCCCACCAGGTGATGTGTTCGTCATGTCGTGTTTCACAAGACGGGGTGCCGGTGCCGAACGGAGGATAGGGGTGCCCCAGAACACATCCACTCACTGGATGGGACTGAAAACCACCCCGTCTGGTGACTCCTGGTCATGTCGTGTTGTGTTTTTGTTTGAAGATGGTTTACTCCCCTTGCAATTCGGACCACATGGATCCCCCTTCATGACCCTGCGCTGGATTGGTGGAGAATGGTCTGGAACACCACCCGGTCGGGTCGGTCCGGTCCGTTGCCGGTGCCGTTGCCGGTGGGTAGGTGATGTGATGGAGACCTGGCCGAAAGGATGAGAGTCTGACTGGAGGCCAAACCGTTTTCCTTGCCCTCCAGGAGAAGTAGCCAGGTCTCCCGGGACCATCGGACCCGGAAAACCTGGGGTACCCAACTGGGATAGTCTAGTTTGGGTCATGAAAAACCTCTGTTGGCTGGTCCTTCATGCTACTCGAAGACAGAGACGTCCGGATGTCTGAGGACCGGCGTCATGGCGCTGCTAGGCTGCAGCTCGGCCACTCTGCTGGCGCGTTCGGTGGGCTTGGAGAGGGGCTTCGTGAGCGATGGCCTGGCAGGCGCGATCTCCGTGCGGCGCGGACGTCTCTGCGCGGGCGCGCGGAGTGCGGGATGAAGGAAGTTCACCGCAGAAGTCAGGCGGACCTGACCACCCTAAAGAATATCTCCATGGCTCCCAGAGATCTGGAGATCCTTTAAACATCTTGGAACTTCTGGGGGGCTTCATTTCCTATCATCGCGCCACTGACCAAAAGGGACGAATGGAACACGGCGAGCCTCTCTTTTCCAGAAGAGAACGGCTCGCGAGTCAGCGCAGTTTCTTTTTGGGATGTTTTGCTTAATAAGTGGTACATGACTTTGTTGCATTGTAAGTTTTGCACATCACTGTCGGACAAGAATACACTGCCAGCAGTCACAAAGGGGTGCGATCCATGGAGGTTAAGGGTGCCCAGAACATCCACTCACTTAGGGACTAAACTCCACCCCTTTGTGACTGCTGGCTGGTTCTTTTTGGTCCGGTTTATCAAGCAAATTCCGATCCTGGACGCTCGCGAGCGGCCAAAGGCCCGGGTCCCCGGCGAACGGGCGAGCCTCCCAAAGGGGCGCGCAGAGCTGATGTGTGTGTGTTGTCTTCAAGGGCTGAACATCGGAGGTGGGGCGAGCTGAGTCCAGAACTGATTGGTACGCCCGCTGCGTGCTGTTTTCTGTTTCTTCTTCTCCTTTGGGAATGACTAAGCATCGAAGGGATCGGCTCTGTATTCCTCGAAAGGTGAAGCAACCCTTGTAAGCAGCAAGATCCAAATCGGACAGGCATGGACAGGCTGACTGACAGCAAGCACACCGCGGCGCGGAAGATTCATATGGAACCTGATGGCATGGACCTCTGGAAGACGGTTTTCCTCTACGGCCCAGTGGTTGTCAGGTTCCATGTGGGTCTCTTCCAGGGTGAACACCATGCGCGTGTTGTGCGCCACGAGAGGCTACAACGGCGCCCTGGTGGGTTGCGCCTTGTCGGTCTTTCAACCAGCACTGCCGCTGATGCCGGCGGCCTTGGGTGCGCTGGGACCCTTTAGGCGGGGTGCGACCGGTCAAAGTGGTTTCAGATGGTTTAAGGGAACATGAATGTAGACAGGAGAGCCATAGGTGTGGGGATGAAAGCCATGGTTTCCGGTGGATTTTCCCATTTCACGACCAGGACCGGTGCTTAGAAGACCTGCTGGGTGAGGTACCTCTGAGTCTGCGCATGCAGGAGTACCACTTGAGGGCGAACCCTGTTTCCGGGGCGATCCCGGTGCCGCTGCTTCGCACCCACCACGGAGCTTCGGGTGTCCATGAAGCACCCCTTCTCCAGGGGTCCTGGTCCGTTGGGCTGAGAGGAAGCTCGATCAAGATCTGGCGCATCAGAGCCAGAGCATGTTCTGGACAGTGATGGTCAATTGCTGCATCAGACTTTGCTTGTGAACAGTAGGCATTTTGATGTCCACTACACCATGTGGAAGAAGCACTCAGAATTTCAGAATAAGTCCCCCTCTTGGCAACTGACCTAGTAGTATTAGTAAAGGGAGCTTTGTGTTCACACGGGTGTGTTATATCCATGTTCTTCTTTTCTTTCGTCTCATGTGTGCTTCTCGCGGTCCCATGCTCCCCACTTCGGCTAGGCCTCAAGGGACCTCTCCAGGTCGCTGGACCTAGCTCTTCATCCCCACCTCGGGCTTCATCCATCCTCCTCTGTATGGAAAATAGGCCTTTTGAAGCCACCCATTTCGATCTGACAGCCTGGGCCTGGCTGAACTTCCCGGTCTCGAGAGACCGGTCTCGTCTCGAGGTCTCCAGGTCTCAATCTCTACCAGAAGAGGTTTTTCATGACCCGAACGTTCGGCTATCCCAGTTGGGTACCCCAGGTGTTCCGGGTCCTATGGTCCCGGGAGACCTGGCTACCTCTCTTAGGTACTAGCGATGGCCTCCAACCTACTAGATCGATCGTCGAACACTCGCTCAGCTCCGGTGCACTGGGGGACTTGCTTCTGACGCTGCTCGTGGGCGGGCTCTCAGCTCCGGTGGCAGCGCGTCTTGGTGGAAACCGTGGCGCGTCTCAGAAGCGGAGGAGGTGGGTTTGGGTGGGATTGGGGGGGGCAGGAGTAGTGTGGGTCCCAGTATGTATAGAGGTCCTAGATGGTCCTAGGGTACTGCTGGGATGGTTTTACCAACCTTTTGCCGTGCCCAGCCAAGCTTGTTGGTATGGCAGTTGATGGTTGAAAGCAGCCGAAACCCTTTTGTTGCGACTCTTTTTGGCGAGGGATTTGGGTGCCAGTGGGCAAGTATACACCAGGGCCCCCTGTTTGGGGTGGTTAATGCCTCTCAACCTCTAAGCAGCTATAGACACCCCTGGCCGGGGACCCTGGTAGTTGACAGAAGGTTCCAAGCCAATGGCCTGGACCGACTGGATTGGACGCCCAGCGATCTGTGGTCGCATCAGAGCCCCCTTCAGGTTCTGTCCGACACTGGCCACCATCTCATCAATTCTCAACAGGTGTCGAACAAAATCCACCGAACCTGAGGTGAAGGTACGAGGTGCCGGATTTTTTTTCTGCAGTGGAAACAGGTGTCGAACACATCACCGAAAAGGCACCTGAGGCCATACCAGGACCCACTGTCGGGGTGGTTCATGGACACCCATTCACCTGTAAGGAGCTGTCAATAGAAACCCCTTAGGGTGTCCTGGCATATGCAAGAATGTGTTTTTGTTGAGGGGAACGACTGGATGCCCAGGGAACGCCTTGTGTCCTGCAGATCTCATCCGATCAGATCGCCAAACCGTTCGGAACAGCGGCGGACCGGTCCGAAGACCACATGTGGTGCCATTGCGTTTCGCCTCACCTCACTCCCGTCCAAGAAGTTCCTGAGCTTGACCCATGTGGTGTCCACAATGCTTAGAATATCTAGAACCTCATTTCTTCGGGGTCTCTGACCCGCTTTTCTCCGCCCCGCTTGTGCGCGACAAGCGGTGAGGAAGCTAGGGCCTCTGATGGCACCAGTGCCGCAGTGGACCGTGGTCTTCAATGTGTTGGCTCTCACCGTCACCCGCGTCACATGTGGTGCGCGGTTTCGCCGCCGACGCTGCGCGCGGAGAGGGGGTGTTTTCCGCGACCACCTCGTCGAAACGTCCTTAGTCTAAGGATTCATGTGCGTAGCACGAAGTGCAAAGGCGATCAAGTGAGTTGGCCTCAGAGTATGGGCTTCCCAACCAGGAGTGTTTCCCTTAGCCTTCCAAGACTATTGGCAATTGTTGACCTGGTTGACCTGGTTTCGCAGCCCCAAATCCGTAAAATGGTTCTTGAGTAAAAGGTTGTGAAATCAATGGTGCTTGGAAGGCTGCACAGCGTGTTTTAAGGCACAGAGGGTATTGACCGAGCATGGAGTCACAGGTCGGTCCTTTTCGGTTTCGATTTTGGGGCTGCGAAAGCAGGAATTCTGGGCATTCCCAAAATCATAAATATAGTGGAGTGAGTGAGTGAGTGCGTGGGTGGGTGAGTGAGTGAGTGAAAACCAGCGCCAATTGGTCTTCGGATTTCATGGTCCACTTTTGGGGGCCAGGTCCACGTAACGATGATTCCCAGCAGTGTAACAGCTGCGAACTTGGAGATGAACTTGGCAAGATGGAGGGTCCTTTATTGATCCTTTGGAGCAGACTTGACTTCCAATTCCAAAAAGCTGACACGCCTCGTCCTACCAATGAATTGAACAAAATACCGCGCGGGCTTCCGAGCCTCCGGGCCTCTGACATGGTATTCCTGCTGGTGGACTTGATTTTTGCCGAAGGTATTCCCGAGAAGTCTAGTTGGACTCTAGATTGACCGACTGAAGTTGCGGGAAATTCCTAGACTCGGGTCACCTGAATTCCCTTTTATAGGAACAAGAAGATACCAGGTTAGAGGCCATCGCTATTGGGGTGTAGGCCATCTCTAGTTACTAGTAGCTATAGAAGCTAGTAGACCATTTTGATCATTCTTTTCATAGTCTTGCGACTTGTCCTGCCAGCTAACTCACGTCACGAGCTCACCGCTTGAGGTCCTTAGTGGCTGCGCCGCGATCAAATATCTCTCAAGCCCGCAGAGCCCCAGCAAGCCTCGCAAGCCCAAGCAGCCCAAGCAGAGGGACTGTGGACCGGGAGGTGACACAGATCTTGTTTGCGTCCTTGAATCATAAACTCTTGAAAGCCAGATCTTTGTGGTATGATTCTTCAGCCAGAGTGAATGGCATGGAGTTTAAGAGGCTCAATTTGGTCCTGTCATTTTGACATCAATCCGTGCTGAATGTTGCTGCTTTTTCCGATCTAGGTTGAAGTTCAACATTGGACTTTTGGCCATGAGAAACCCTGGTGCCTTGCGTCAACCTACACCAGAAGGAACCAGCAGAAAGAGGCGGTATTCTTTTTCTTCGGGGCTCGGGCTCCAACCATACCACCCCAGTCCCACCTTCGAAACGCAGGTAGGCCAGGAGCCCTAGGGTTTGGGGAGTCATGGAACATCCAGAAACAGGCAGAAACCCGTGTCCAAGCCAGGCCTATGCGACTCCTCATGAACCTATCTTATTTAGACTCGGCACCCATGGTCACGTGGATTAACCATGGACCGTCAGATTCACTATGGACTACCATTGTCCGCATACCAAACAGCTGGTTTTGCGGGGGAGTTGGGCACTCCCCCAAATCCTCGAAGGATTTGATCCGCCTCATCAAGGAGCATCCAAGCACCCCGGACGGAATTAGTGGCGGCTTCGGATGGAGTGCCGCGGGCCGGCACTGGAGTTGGCCGGCCGGCACGTTTTTCTTTTTTCCCTTTCCTCTCCTCAAGCCCAAACAGAAGTGGTGATGGGAGGCTGGTGACCTCACAGTTTCTTGGGAGATGTAGAATTAACAATGTAGAACACATGCAGGATTGATGTTGGAAGGGTAGAAGCTGTAAGATTCGGTTTGTTTGTATAGGAATTTGGTGAACAAAAAGGGTGGGAGCTGAGTTCCAAACAGTTTACATTCAGTTTCCTACTATCCCGGGAGGCTTGAATTTGGATTTAGCCTGTATGCGAATCATTCTTGAGTTAGGTGAGGAGCTTGAGCTCCTTGCATGGAGGAGCTTGGGTGAGCAACGAGCTTGGGACTGAGGATTGGGATGGTTTTGGTCCCAGACACTCCATGTCGTATGGTATCCATGCCTACATTGATCCCGGGGCCTCCACCCCAATGTAGGCAAATGTGCCAGTCCCATCGAGTGTGGACTGTCCACAACCCCTGCAAGCCCAGAGGAAAGAGGAAAGGGTTCTAAAACCCGTTTTGGATCCACACCCTGAGTTGGTCATCCAGCCAGAGAAACTGAAACGGCTATAGACTCAGGAGAGAGAGAGAGAGAGAGAGCTAGAGAGCTACAGGGGGTGTCCGACTACCTGTAGCAATTGGAAAACAAGAGCATCACTAGTCAAGAGATGTCGCAACTGCAACTATACCAGCAGTCACAAAGGGGTGGTGTTTAGTCCCCAAGTGAGTGGATAATGGGCACCCCTAACCTCCATGGATAGCACCCCTTTGTGACTACAACTTCGGAAGCATTTACTAGGCCCTGGGTCCATGGGGCTGCTGAATCCGTGTCAGCCATGTTTGATCAACCTGCGGGTCATGGCACTCAGAGCCCCGAACTCACCAGCTTGACCTCCTTGAGTCGTCCACCAAGCTGCCACCCCCCCGGGTGCCAGACGGTCCCCGCCCCACGGTCCCGGCGCGCATCGCACGGTTCGCGCGACCCGCACGGTGAATAGGCCATTTCATCGGCGACTTGATCGAGGCGATGATGGTGAGCGTCTCACAGATCTTCGTGGTCAATAGCCCCCTCACAGGACCGGGCGGATTTCGGTTGGGATGTTCGGCCTTTGAAGGATGGCTACAGTGCCTAACGGTCATTGACTCAGGGTCATGACTAAGGTCATCTAGGGCAAACATCTAAGGTCATCCATCCAGGACTAAGATGATTGACGGGAGCCGGCCGGGATCGGGTGAAGATCGTTGGATCTGAAGATCGGCCTGGGGACTGCAATGCTTACCCCACCTGGTGGCGTCATCCATCAATCAACAGCAGTATCAACAGCATATTCTCAGATCATCTCAGATCTATAATATATATGTATATATGTATTAATAGATAAATATATCATACAACTACCTACAAAAACAACCCCAATATAGGTAAATATGACAGTCCAGTGTGCCCGTGGGATGGATACGGGAGTCCATCCCTGCCGAGCTTCGTGCTGCCAGGACTTCTGATCACGGTGGGGCGTCTTGATGCAATATCCCTGGGGCTTCAAGTAATGTCCTGGTCTTGCTTAACCCTAGGGACCCAAGTACCTTGTCAGAAGGTGATTGGAGACACTGCTATGTAGGTTTGGAGGGTCCAAGTACCTTCTGAGAAGGCACTTGGATCCCTAGGGTAAGTAAGGTGATTTTTTCCCATGTGGTTAGATCCGCTTCTGAGGATAGGGTTTGGATTGTAAAACCTCTTCCAAGCTTGGGGTGATCTTCATCAACCCTCATTACCCCAGAAACGAAGCTATGACTGGACCCCTCCTGGCACCCTCCTCACGTCCCGAACCGAAACGAAGCTACGACCAGAGTTCGCCCGGTCGGGCCGGGTTCGCATCTGGCTGGATGTACTGACCGTTGGGTTCAGCTCCTTCAAGGGGGCTGATGGACCCAAAAGCCAGGGCCGACGTCGAAGGAGCTTTGGCCAGTTTTTGGGCCCAAGCCAGGGCTCAAGTGAGCTTAAGGATGTAGGGTCTAGACCACATCCACATCTACAACCAGTCAAAACCCTAGACTGAACCCAACATCGGATGGGTCCCGGGACGAACCTGTGGTCGAGCCGAAAGGGGTGGAACCATTTCGGACTCACGACTGTCCCAGAAGCACAAAGGCTTTCCAACCACGACTCCACGCTCCACGAAGGCAAAGCCTTAAAGCTTTTGGTCCCAAACGGATTTGGCTCCCAACAGGCTTCGGCAAGCTGGGCGCCAGGGCACCAGGCATCGTCCACTCGTTGTTTTCAACGTCGAAGGTCCGTGACACGGCCCCCGTTGTTCAGCTGCTTGGGATCTGACCACTGCGGGTTCATGGCGCTCCGCGCCGCAGCTCCGACTGAGGATCTTCTGCTACTCCCCAGCCGCCGCCGGGCTCACACTTGGTGGTGCCATGCTGGGGAATCTGTCTGCCTTGATCTCGGGCATTGACTATGACCAGGCCACGGGGGATAGCGTGGGTTCGTGTAAGATCCATGTCTCATGAGTAGCAGTAGTAGTTGTTGCTGTAGCAGTAGCAGTGGCGGTAGGAGTAGGAGTAAGAGTAGTAGTAGGAGTAGTGGTAGTAGTTGTTGTTGTAGTAGTTGTTGTGGTTGTTGGTTGTTGTGGTTGTTGAGTTGTTGGTTGTTTGTTGAGTAGTGGTATATTTTGGCTTCTTGGTGGACAAAACGGGGACCACATCCCGAGCGGCGACGCGTCGATGCGATGCGCCTAGGGACGCCTACGCGACGCGACGCGTATCGAGGTGATGGAAGGCTTATGGGGCTACAATGCTGCCCTGTCCAGCCTCGCAGTAGGGCACCTTGGTACCGAGATGTGCATAAGTAAATCCTGAGATAAAACCATCAGCTCCATACTGGATCTGGAATTTGAAGTAGCCCTTTATGATGGGGCTGCAATGTAGACTCTTGATCAATTGCTGTAGAACTTCCATAGATGAGAGGTAGTTACTAGAGGTTTTACCTTCCAGTATGAGAGGTAGGCGGGCCCGGTGGACTTGTCACGTGGTTTGAGCCAATGCCTGGTTTCAGAGTCGATGAATATCACAAGACCCCAAGGGGGTCTTGATAGGGGCTCCCAACACCACAGGGTAGAGGGTGTCTATGAATATCACTGCGCATGCACAGGGTCCACACACACCAGAGCTCGGGGTTTTCTGTCAAGACACTGCTGCACTTGTTCTGTTTGGCCACACATCGCATGTCAAAAGCCGTCCTGTATTTGAGCATGCACATGTTTGGTAGTTGCGCACGTCGTCGTCGCCCACACGTCGCGCCTTGAGGATCTTTTTCGTCCCCAGGGGTCTGCCCTATGCGGGCCTGGTAGCTGCAGGCGATGGCGGTCGGCCTCGCTCGACGGTGGAAGAAAGACATCCAGCAGCACCACGGGTAGAGAATCTTAGAGCAAAAAGATGAGGCTATCGTTACATGGTCTTCAAGCAACATCTGAAAGAGGTCACTGAAGAGGGAGTGTGCAAATGGCAAATGAACAAGGATTTCAACCGCCAGACTTGAGAAGACCGAGACCCTGATTAATCCTCATTATAATAAACAAGAGAAACCGTTCATCTTACATTCCACTGATGCACCCCCAAAACTTAGCCTTAAGTTGTTCAAACCTCCAAAAGACAAAACCTCAGTATAGATAAGACCCCCGATTGGGAACGTGCATGTTGATGGTTCCTCAACTTTGATTCCTATATGTAACTATATGTAGTACTGACATGCACTTCCCTAGGGCTCCAACCATATCCTCAGGTTCAGTGGTTAGACCCCCCTGGCACCCACCCCTGTCCCATCTTCGAAACGGAGGTGGGCCAGGAGCCCAAACGGGCTTCGTAGTAGCAACTGATTGAAGGGCGCCGGCTCTCAGAAGCGATCTTTGTTTGATGTTGGGGGCCCCGAGTAGAGGAGCAGAGGGTACGTCAGTGGACCTGGTCCAGGCGCCGTGGGCTCCACGATGGTCACAGTGGCAGTGAAGCAGCTGATGGACCTGGCGGATCTGCCCTGCATGACGGTGCCCCTGGTTTTGGCGGATTTGAGATGATCTTTTTTTGATTTGATCCCCATACCGGTACCTGGGTCAAACCCCATACCTGGGTCAATCCCCATACCTGATGAATGATGTGTTCGATTTTTTCCAGTTTGGACAGCTGACCTCCTAGGTGCCCTTCTGCTTGATGGCGCTCCTTGGATGGAATTCAGCCGTGGACCCTCCGTCCAGGACGCTTCGGCGTCTGTCCACGGAGGACCACACTGACTGAGCTGAGCGGCGAGCTCGGGCGATGCCTTTGGTGTCACGGGGTCTCGCTCAGACACCCAGCTCCAACACCAGTCACCTCCCAGTCCATCTTCCGGATGTTCACCAAGTGGAGATCCATCCAACGCCGAGGGGTGCCACGCTTCCTCCAGGTCTGCCTGCTTCCTCCTGGGCGGACGTGTGCCGGGACTGGTGCGTGCCAAGGCTCCTCACTCACCTGAAGTGAATTTGCACGCCTATCGCGCTTTCTGAAGGGCTGAGGGTCGGAAAACGTGAGTGGCCTCGCGGTGAGAGATTGCCCCTCAACAGGGCAGAAGACATGAGAAAACCATGAAGACCTTACGCAAAGATGAGGTGTTTGATTCTTCAAACTCCGGGTCTACCAAGCTTCAGATGCCCCATGATGCTGCCAACATCTGGCTCTTGGTGGCAAACAAATTGGTGAAGGTGATGCTACGTGTCCCTCGTGCTGGGAGGCGTTGAGATGTGAAAAAGGTGGTGCATGGGTACTGTATATACACGCATGCCGCATACCCTTGACTCTTTTCTGTATTGGGAGCCTTGTGCCAAGAATTGGATCCCTCAAGTCGAAGGTTTCTACCAAGAAATGCCAGAAAGTCTACGCGTTCTTGAAGGCAGATTGGTACAGAAACCCACCGACAGCTGACCAAGCACAGTTGTTTTGAACTGTTTTGAACCATGTAGATGTTCTCAAGTGGCGCAATCTGTCATCACATGTCCTCGAAATGTTTCTGACATAACTCAAGTTGCTCTGAACAATTCACCAAATGGATCCAGATATGGTCAACATCAAAGAATTGGTCTCACTTCGCGGCCAGTTTCGCCCCCTTTTTTCCTCTGGCGACCTGCGCCCGCGGGGGCGAGAGTTAAGCTTTTGGAGAATTCAGGCGGACCCCGGGCGACGGGCGATGGAGGCGACCGCAGACCGTGGCATGAGAGCTTCGGGTTAGCACAGCAAAGGGCGGCTAGATCTACCACTAGGAGTGAGACCCTTAGAGGAGGACTTCGCAATGGACGCCGCAGGTCCCGCGCACCGGTACCGACCGGGCGTTTGCTGCTCGCGACCGGGATGTGCCGACGGCGAGGTTGAAAAAAGGCGAAGGCAATGGCGAGTTGGCAGATGTTGGCAGGAGCAGCCGAGGTGGCTCGCGCCGCCACGGCGCTGAAGCGACAGGTTTTCACCCCCATGGCCAATTAAGGGTCACCCTTTCTTAACCCTCGAAAGTGGTTTGTGGCAGGCGCAAGATTTTTTCGATGGTTAACATCCCTTAACCTTCTTTTGGTGGCTATGGTTAGACAATTCTTAGGCGGCCCTGGTTTCGCATAACTGCCAGGGTTGAGGTGTTTTTTGGCGGGTTGGCCGGTTGGCAGCTATGATTGTCAGCAACAGCATCATCAACTGCATGCATGATTTGATATCATTAAGTTTCTTTGTCTAGCAGTCTAGTGCTCAGAGTGTATATACTATATGGTTGTGTTTGGTCTCACGACCATCCCCAACAGTTCTTCAAAAACCTCTTGTCTTATATAGCCACGCAAAAACATGTCGTGTGGCTTCAATATTTGCCAAATTGGTTAATCCATCTTCTCCATTCCAAGAGAGGTGACCTGAACTAGGACCCGTTTTTTCTGGGGCTACCCTGGCCTGGGATAGGCGAGTTCGGGTCCTTCAACCTCTGTTGGTTCTTCTCTCGCAGCTAAGCTGGCCTCGTTTCTGGCTTCCTAGACCGACCGGGACTCCGCCACGCAGCGTCCGCCATCTCAGGTGCTGGCCAACGCCCCAGGCTTCGAGGAGGCCGCCTTCCACGGGTTTTGCGTCCCTCTGGGTCAATCCCCCTGCCGGAGGGAATTCTGCCCTACAAGTCCAAAAGACTCATGCAGTAAAACTTGATCATTCTACCTCCTTCAATCGTGTTTTTGTATGACAGACTCCAGTAAAGCGAGGTCATTGACCTGTTTCCGGGATGGCTTCTTTTTTGTTTCCCCAACTTTCCTGGGACCGGCCAGCGCAGTTTGCCTCGCTCCGCCCGTGTGGTTGCGCCACGCGCGCGCGCTCCGCTCCGCGCTGATCTCTCCGCGCGGAGGTGAAGGCCCAGGGCACCGGTGCGTCGGTGCGCGTGGAGGGCGAAGTGGTGGAGTCGCCGGCCAAAGGCGCGGACGGCGGACGCACGCACCGATCCAGGGAGAGGGGATGGAGGATGGAGGATGGAGGATCCAGTTAGGGTGGGTGGAAGGCAGAGCTTGGTGGGAGAGGTCTGTACCTTGGAGTTGGCGAGCTCCTTGGAAGGTGTGAAGGACAAATTGAATCGCGAAGTTGCGCGAAAAAGTTGGACATCAGTTCGTTTCCATGGCAGTCATTTTGTTCTCGCGCATGCAGCGCCATACCATGGGCGGTATGACCACTTCCCCTTAGCATTCATGCGAAAGTCACTTCAAGTTGATGGCGGAAGCCTCCCATTCCCACCCTCCCAGCAGAGGTTGAAGAACCCGAACTAGACTATATAATAGGTACCGGGTCCTATGGTCCCGGTCACTTAACCGACTTAACCTCTGTGGGTCCCCTCCAACACCCTTCCTCCTGAGCTCCGTTTGAGTCCTTCTCGCCACCAGCTCTGTGTCTCGAGTCTGCCAGGTCAGGCGGTGGAAATCTCCTGCAGCTCCGTGCGGAGCTCAGTTAAGGACACCCTGCACCACTCCCAGCGCAACACCATGCACTCCTAACCATATAATTGCCTGGAGGAGTGGTGCAGGATAAGAAGGAGTGCAAGGAGTGCAGGTCATAACCTAAAGAGTGGATCACCTGCAGGTCATCCTTGATCCTTCTTGGGGGTTGGGGAAGCCCCCAGAGAGTGGAAGTTCGGTAAATGTTCATGTGAACTTGGAAGGGATCGAAACAGCAACGGCTCGCTCTCCCAGGTTTTGTGCTGGTTTGTCATGGTTTTGTTTGGTCCACGTGGAAAACTCACGGAGAGTTCCGTAGGCGCCGTAGGAGGCAGATGAAACGTGGATGTTTTGGTGGGAAATCCCCTCCCCAGGAAAGATCGACCCCCTTCCAAGTTGCGGACCAAGGGGAGGAGCTCCCCATGAGGGACGAGCGACGTTGCGAGCGAGCGAGCCAGCTTCTGGAGCGACCATTGTTTTCTGTGCACCTGGACCTCGCTTCAAGTACCCTAGAAAATAGGGCATGACCCCATGTTACCAAAATCTCAAAAACACATACCAGCAGTCACAAAGGGGTGCTTAATGGAGGTTAAGGGTGCCCAGAACATCCACTCACTTAGGGACTAAACTCCACCCCTTTGTGACTCCTGGTATACTTGTCTTGTACTCATTTTCTGGGGTACCTCTTAAGAATCTTTGGACACGTTATACGGTATACCTCGATCTTCGTGACAGTCCAATCGCTCCTTCTGGGCCGTGAGACCGGTGCTTGCCATGCGGCTTCTTCCCTCCACGACTCCTGTGAAGCGCCCCATTGGGAGTGAGAGAAGCCAGAGACCCCGATAAAGAGCGTCCACTTTGATGGGCAAAGGGCAGCAAGGCCAGAGTTGGCATGGTTGGTAGCTTAAGTATACTAGACTTACTTCCTCGTGTATTAAGCACCTGTTCAAGACTCAAGTGAAGCTCAAGGAGTGACTTGAGGGAACTGAGCTCAAGACCCAGAACCTTCACAAGGTCTCCTATGTGCCACTGCTGGATCCCGAACCGCGACGCTTCCCTCGTACCAAGGCAGAGCATCGAGTGGGGACGGCTGAGTGACCGCGATCGTGGCGCCGCGATGCACGAACAGGTGATCACGACCAAGGTGTGGTTGATTTGAGGCATTCTTGGATTTGAAAGAGCTTGGCAGCTTGTCCTCACCCTCCTCCACCCTTCTTCTCCCCGCCCCTCCAAAAAGACAACACGTACAGACAAACACATTCCTGAAACCATCCTGTCTGGGTATCCATGAAGATCCCTAACTAGTGGAGGGTAGTCCAGACAGGTGACCCATTGGATGGTATAGCTAGGAATTTTATGGCCACATGATTGACTCCAGATGGGAGACTTGATTCTATACAGGTGATGATTGCAACTTGGACAGCTGCACCGTGCAGCACCCTGTCCACATGGATTTCAGGCCACTGCATACTCCGAAAACGGCTAAAGTCGAACCTAAATCTTACAGTAGTAAATTGAATTCCATGGGGAGCTCCTTCCCTGAAAGGTTTGGAAGGTTTTGTGCTAGAGCCTGGGGAAGGCCTTGTCCCAAAACCACTTGGATGCCCATAGCAGGCAAGAAATGGCAAGAAATGGCAAGAATAGTAGATGGTCATAACTAGGTGGTCATAACCAGTCATAACTCAAGTCAACAAAATCCTTCAGTGAAGAGTCGTTCTTGACCGCATAGGTCATAACTCAAGAAAAAAACACACAGACACACTCATAAACATTTAAAGTCGGAAGTGGAGTCCAACAAAAACAAACTTCCTGGCCTTTCCAGCCATGCTTTGCCATTCACGTGATTCCGTGATTCCTTCTTTTTGAGGGAGTTATAGTGATCCTCGCGCCTCGCCAGCGCTGAGGTGGAGGTGCTTGGAGCCGTGGATTCTAAGGCGCGCCGGCACGGGGCAGGAGCGAGGGTTGATGCCGCTACGCGAGGTGAGGTGAGGTGCTTTCTTCCTTTTTGGTTTCAAGACGTAGGTGGCACTTTTAGGCCTCCAAGAGGTTTGCGTGCTTTCTTTTTAAATTAAAGGTGGGGAGGGAGGTGCATGGAAACCACCAAACTTGGAGATTGATCCGCTCTCAGTCCACCATTATGATCCATTAATATCTATTCTGTAGGTTAGGCAGATGGCGTTTTGAATGCCAAGAGATGCCAAGTCAGGTGGTGCATTGGGTGTGCTCATAATGGGTCACTTAAGTCATCTATGACATAGGCTGTAATGTGATACAGTGATACATAGTCAGTTATACACACCGTACACACGTTAATAATTCACATACTTGGACTATATGCCATCTTCTTCACACATGCCCTACATATGTTCACGCCCCCAACCACCCCGGGCCTGTCTCTCAGGCCTGTTCCATGCCCGTCCCAACAAGTGTTTCGGGTCGGCACAGCGCTGTCCACTTCGATGGGGTCACCGCTTGGTCGCTCAATCGGCGGATCCAATGGGATCACCGGTCGCAGTGGGGCTGGTGGGGCTGGTGGTGAAGGCGCGCATCGAATGGGCTGGTGGTGCGAA